TGCAAACGCTTTCGTGCCACTGCGGTCATGCTCACGCATCGCAGCAGCCGGTACTGTAGGAGCCTGAATAATTAGAGTAGGGTTGGAATAGTATTAGCAATCTCTATATTGCACCTATCATGAAAGAGCAGAGCCTGGCCTGAGACAACGGTGCCCGAAGGCAGCTCATGCAGCTCCACGGGGACCACAGCCTCAGTGCTGAGAGTTCGAGGCTGCGGTTGCACAGCAAGATGCCGTCATGCTGCCATCATGCTGCCTATGCCTATGCGGAGGAGCCTGGAAATCTTCCAGGTCGATGTGAGGGTTCAGGCTCTTGAAGTGCAAGTTCGCGGGGACCTGCTTCTTCTCCAGCATGTGGACGCTCTTCAGGAAGCCAGCAATGCCTGCTGCACCCTCCAAGTGCCTCAATTCGGAAGCACCAGCATTGCGAGACCCCGGACTCAGCAGTTTAGCAGAGCAATCTGGAATCCTAAGCACTGAGCAGCACTGAGCACTGAGCGGCACTGTCTCAGATTGAGGCGAGATGCGCAATATTGGTCTTTGCTGCCCCCAGGGCTACGGAAGTGGCATCTCCAAGCACGGTCTTGAGGGCATCGACTTCGATGGGATCCCCGAGTGCAGTGCCGGTGCCATGGCACTCGATCAGGGCCACCTCGGCGGGGCTGGCCGCAGCCTCCGACAGCGCGCGGCGGATGACCGCCTGCTGTGATGGGCCGTTGGGCGCCGTCAGGGACGCCGAGCGCCCATCCTGGTTCGCAGCCGTGCCCCGGAGCAAAGCCCGCGCTGCGGCCGCGCCTTCCCCGCCGTCGAGGGCCAAGAACGCGGCCCCGACGCCCTCTCCGCGCGCATAGCCATTTGCCGACTCATCGAAGGTGAAGCAGCGGCCATCTTCGGAAAGCATCTTGGCCTCGCCAGTGGTCCAGACGCTTGGGAGCTCGGCTTGAGAGAACGAGACGGGACAGCAAACACCGAACACCAGGAATCTGAACCACCCCTTCTACATCTGGGTGGAAGAACTGCGGAGTGCTCTAACTGACTTACCCGCAGCCTTGCTGAAGCTGATGTACGGGCCGGTGCCGAGGATCAGGTTCGTTCCGGAGGCCAGGGCGCCCTCTGCAGTGCCCCGACGCAGAGAGGACAGCGCCTCGGTGCGACTCGAAAAAATGGCAACAGCTCCTCTAACTTTATGGCCCCTTGCTCAAGTTCCTGTCTTAAAAAGGTTTAACACACTGCAACATGGAGCAGACAGTGTATGCAAATCTGCTTCCAGGAAACGGCATCGGCAGCAACCAGAGAAGACGAGCAGGCCGTGTCACAGGTGAAGCTTGGGCCCTTCACTCCAAAGATATACCTCCAGATGTCATGCGGTGCTGATCAAAGCGACGCTCTAGGCCCTGACTGACGAACCCTGTTGTTTCAGAGCCCTTTCACGATGCCAGCAACATCGACAACTAAATTGCTGACTGCAGCTGACATGCGAGGTTCGGTTTGCGCTGATGGATGCGGAAATACCAGTACCAGTGTATGGGTTGAACTTGTCACCGACCGACACCATCACGAACCAGTCCTGGACACTCAGGCCATCGGCTTATGCTGCGGCACCAAACTGTTCTAGCAGCTGGCAGCGGCGAGAAAGAGAAGACGCATGTTCATACTTATATGTATATCAATCTTTATGTGCATATTTATATCTGTTTTATGCTCATATCTTTCTATCTGTATTTACACTTCGACTTGCTTCTAGACCTAGAACTGCAAAACAGGTGTGCCGCATGGTTTCACGAAGCCCGGTCATACTGGCATTGGCCAACGAACACACCCACATCCGAGCCCATCAGCTGCTCACGGTCTCTGCCGGCTGTCAAGAAGGCTGTGTGTGCCGCTTCAAGGAGCAGGCGCTGCTGTGGGTCGATGGTAGCAGCCTCCGCCGCCGAGAGCGCGAAGCAGGAGGGGTCGAAGAGCTCGGCGCCTTCGATGAAGCCCCCGTGCTTTGCGTACGTCTTCCCGGGCTCGTCGGGATCTGGGCTGTAGTAGACGTCGAGGTCCCAGCGCGTGAAAGGGATCTCGATGACGGAGTCCTTCTTCTCCACAAGGTCTTCCCAGAAGCCATCGTCCCGACGGCCAGGCAGGCTTGCAGCCATGCCTAGCACGGAAGCAAAGGCACCCGAAGCGGCCACGGGCCCAGCACCCAAAGATGGTGCGGCGGCCACGGGGCCCAGCTGGGCAACGGCGTAGTTGCTGATCGCGGCGACCGTGGGGTAGTCGAAGATCAAGGTGTTGGGCAACTTGATACCTTGCAGCTCATTGGACAAGCGGTTTCGGAACTCCACTGCCGCCAAGGAGTCCAGGCCAGAGTCCATCAAGGGCTCCTCGTATAAGGGATTCTCATCAAGCTCTATGAATCAAGACTAATCCTTCTTGAAATCTTCCAGGCTGATACTGATGCTTTCACTCCATCTTGCGGGGCGGAAACTCAGATGAAGGAAAGCTCATCCCCAATGCGACACCAGAAATACAAACAAAAGAGACACGTCATGAAGCATAAGCCACTCAGGATGCATTAGCGCAGCATGCCAAACCACCCAGAGGACCCTTTCCCCGAGGTCCCAAGAGCGTCTCATTGGCAGCTTCGATCCCTTCAGAACTTCACCCCATCCTGTGGGTCCACGCCGTGACCGGTGACCTCGCTCGCGATCTCCAGCACCAGCGCCTCCACCTGCGATGCGCTGATTCCAGGCGCGCCCACCTGGGTTCTGTGGAGGCTCTTCTGTGGCAACAAAAGAAAAGACACTTCAACTCCCTCAGCTTCCATTGCCGCCCGGGCACCGGTGCAACCTGCCCTGCACCCGCCACTTGACTCAACTGGGACGCTGCAAACATGCCTCGAAAACAGGCGCCGGCAAGCATTTTCTGACGCAGGAAGGAAGGAAAAGGAGCGCGTTTAGGGTTTAGGTTTTGGGGCTTAGGGTTTAGGGTTTAGGGTTTAGGGTTTTAGGGTTTAGGGTTTAGCTTTTAGGGTTTAGGGTTTAGGGTTTAGGGTTTAGCCCAGGAGCTGATGGCTGCGGCCGTAGGGTAGTCGAAGATCAGCGTGTTCGGCAACTTGACCCCCTGCAGTTCGTTGGACAGGCGGTTGCGGAACTCGACCGCCTTGGTACAGTTGGCACAGGGCTTCGTTGCTCTTCTCTCTCAGTCTCACCCTTTATGGTATCTCACAATATATCCCTACAACCCTATGCCGCAATATATCCCGAGAACCCTCTGCCGAACCCTCTGGAACCCAAAAGAACCCTAAGATGACCAGGTAGCGGAGAGCGAGTCCATTCCGGCTTCCATCAGTGGCTCCTCAGGGGGAGACTGAGCTCTTCGGAAGCTTCGGGTCACGAGGCGGAGGGCTGCATGCGTTCCATAGGGCTGCGGGGGAAGCAAGGGATATGGGGTTGTAGGGGTAGGGTTATAGGGTTATAGGGGTATAGGGTTCGAGGGTTAGAGGGTAAGGGTTATAGGGTTATAGGGTTATAGGGTTATAAGGTTATAGTAGGTTGTAGGGCTTAAGGTTGCAAAGGTCCTGTGCGCCGACGGCCGTGCCCGTAACTTCCCCAGCCACCTGGAGCACCATGGACTGGACCTCCGGAGCAAGCCAAGGTCTTCAGTCTTCAAGCCCCCCCCCCTCCCCCCGCCAAAAGCCCTAACAGCCGAAGACCCAAGCACACCTGCTTCTTTTCTCGGAGGAAAAGGGGGGATGGGGGGGAGGGGAGGAGGGCCTTAGATGTTAGCTTCAGGAGGCTCTTGACCTGAGGCGCATCCCCCCGCTCGGCCGCACCTGCTCCGCGCTGACGGCGGCACGCGGGGCCATTGCTCCGGGCACCAAAGCTCTGGCACCGCCTGTGCCGGAGCCCGCGCCGCTGGAGGCTTCTCGGCGGAAACCTACAGGGTCAGCGAGGTTTGTGGGTTGCCGGGGTTATAGGGTTATGGTTCGGGTTGAAGCTCATGCTGGGCGTGTTTCCATGCTCCTCGAGGATTCACAGAGTCATTTTGAGTTTCATGGATTTGGTAGCAGGATGTAGGAATGCAACGAGAGCCCCCTCAAGCTTCAGCTGCTGTCTTTATGCAGCCAGGGGAGCGGGAGTAGAATGACGGCGTGGACTTGCCGAACCTGCTGCCACATTGAGGCTGTGATAGGCTGTGCCTACTTGTCCCGTTGCCCCTCGACACTCCCTCTGCAATCTCTACACTCCCCCTTGCTCTCTTGGGTTCCGCCCGTTCCCGGCACGAGATTTCAGTCAAGCAGCTGTTTCAGATACTGACCCCAGTGCACTGGGCAAGCTGCAATGACGCTGCCGGATGCCCGGAGGGATCCTGAAAGGGCCGCCATGCCAACCTCAGCTCCAAGCACACCGTGGCCACACCGGCGCTGAGTCCCCACCCTGAGCCCTCACATACCCCCTTCCACTTTCCTAAGTCCTATATCTGCTCATACATACATATATATATATATACATATATTTAGACAGAGTTAATTTATTTATATGCATACGCATATGCATATGCTTCCAAGAGGCCACGTTTCCGATGCTCCCGAGGCCTTGCGCCTTCAGCCGCTGCACGGTTCCCTTCTGGGCGGCCATGCCGACTTCGCGCCAAGGGCCCCACTGCACTGAGATGACGTGCTCGCCCAAGGCCTGACGAACGACCCCAAGGCTAGGGGCTTTTTAGATGGGTTTAGGGTTTAGGGTTTATTGGGTTTAAGGTTTAGGGTTTAGAATTCTGAGGGACATGTTGGCCCCCATGTCTAAGCAGGTAGCAAAAAGACGAAAGCGGTCCTTCCAGTAGCGTGCTTGGCCATCCAAGGCCGCGTTGGCTGCGGAGTAGTTGCCCTGGCGCCATCAACTCACATGTCTCATCACCATCACTACAGTTCCTGTATTTGCTTCTGTTACTTGTACTACTACTGCTTTCAAACGAACTCTACACAAATCACAGCGAACCAAGTATGGCTGCCCTTATTCAGGCAGAACTTGAAGATGCCCCCTGCGACATGTTGCGGCCTGGCCGGGCGAGCCGAGGAGGGCAGAAGTCGAGGAGAAGAGGATGGCAAAGTCCAACGCCGAAGCTTTCGACTGGAGGCACAGGTGCAGGTGCCGGGCGCCCCAGACCTTTGCACCATAAGCGCGCTCCAGATGCTTTCGTGTCAGCTTGGGTAGGGTGGCGTCGTCCAGCACTGCGGCGAGGTGGATGAAACCCCTCACCCTGTACTTTGAACTGGTCGAGAGATTGGTAGTGAGCTCTTGCACATCGCTCAAGCTGGCAACGTCGCAGGGCTTGACGAGGAGCTCCACGTCAAACTCCTGCAGCTTCTCCCACATGGCTTTGAGGTCGTCGCCGACCACGCCGCGCCGAGAGAGGAGCACCACAGACTTGGCACCTTCCTCCACCATCATCTTGGTCGTCACGAGGCCAAGCGCGCCCACGCCACCGCTCAGGACATACGAGCCGTCTTCCTGACAATCCATCCGCGAAGGCTGTGTCAGGACGACCTTGCCGATCTGCTGGGCTCGCTGCAGGTAGCGCAAGGCATCGATGCCGGAGGTCAGGCCCTCGTAAAGCGTCAGGGGCACCTCCTTCCACCAGCCCTGCTCGATTTGAGACACGAGCCGCCTCATGAGCATGTTGTAGCGCTCCGGCTGGAACTCCATGACCCAATCCATGGCAATCTTCTCATATTGCACATCCGGGCGTTCACGGTTCATCTGGTCATGGCTCCAGATGAGCCTCTTTCCAATCTCCATGAATCGCCCGCCCTTCGAGAGGAAGCCCAGTGACTTCGGAATGTAGTCATCGTGGCTCAGGGAGTTCAGGACCACATCCACACCGGTGGCACCGTCCTGCTTCAGGAAGGCCTTCATGTCCTCCTCGAACTTCTTGACATCACGGCTGCTGGTAATGTACTTAACACCCATGTCGCGCAAGTGCTGCACCTTGTTCGGGCTTCCAGCTGTGGCGAAGATGGTGGCACCGACACGCTGGGCAAACTGCACGGCGACCAAGCCCACACCACCTGTGGCCGCATGGATCAGCACACGCTCGCCCTTCTTCACCGGCGCCAGCTCCTGAAATGCCTCCTCCGTCGTAGCAAACGTCACGGACCATGCTGCCATCTGCTCGAATGACCATGCCTTTGGCTTGGGTGCCAGGAGAAGGGCTTCGGTGCAAGCGTACGTCTGAAGGCAGCCCCACGCAATGCCGAAGACGTCATGACCAGGTCGGAGGCCAGCTGCTTCCTTCTGACCACCTCCCACAGAGCACACGGTGCCTGCGCAGTCGCCACCTGGGTTGCCTGGATCTCCGGGGTACATGCCCATGACGTTCCTCAGCTGGGATGAGTTTGGAGTTTCGGAGCAACACAGCTCTCAATGCCAAGTTAAGACCGTTTTGGAGTCAGGAGCTGGTGCCCAAGTGCTTGTACTCAGGAGCTAGGTGTTTGAGATTCAGGTTGAGAGGTGTACAGAATCTCCGAGTCTTACACCCCGTGCACACTCAACGGACAATAAGGCCGCATACACCCGTTATCACCAGTATCGCATAGGTTGTGGGTCCTGTGATTCTGCTATTGCCCAATTGCCGACTAGGCTCAGAACATCGCGGAAGTTCAAGCCCACGGAACGGATCCTCAGCTCCACCTGCTCAGGGCCTGGCTGTGGCCGCGAGGCTTGTGGGACTGGCCGAAGGTTTGACAAGCTTCCTCGCGAGGACATCTGCAGGCGCATTGGCTTCTGGACCTGCACCTGGCTGCGCGAAAGCCGCGACACCTTCGTCTCCGCCCTTGCAGCCAGTTCGGTCTCACCGCCACCCGCTCCGATGCCAGTGAGGCTGCCAAGCTGCTCTACAATGGCCTTCGCAGCAGCTTCCGGATCCTCGTGCTGCGAGTCCAAGTCCAAGCAGCGAAGCTTTATCGACCGCTCCTCCATGCGCACTGTACGCGCCAGGCCCCAAAGGCCTGCATCACGTCAGGCAGTCTTGTGCAGACATTCAAAAGTGCCACAGTTCTCCCTCAACGGAACTGGATTGGATATATTGGATATATATATATATATATGTATATATACATGCATTTAGAATACATCTTACATTTTATACTGTAGGTGGTGAGATCATGTTGGATGAAATTCCTTGCTCGCTGGCCCTCTCTGGCCCGCGCCCGTCTGTAAGCAAGGCCTGACTATGCTACGTGTTGTCACTTTGAGTTGGACTACGGAGTGCCTGCATGCAGGTAGCTGCCGGCCCCGGTGCTTGTAGCCACGTCCTGCAAGCGCCACAAACGATCTCGGTGGCATGCAGCGTGCAACAAGAACATGGGGGAGCATGGATGTGCCTGCGTGCCACACGTGATGTAGGCAATCTGCGGAGCATCCTCACCCTTTGCAATCGCTGCCAGGGCTGCCTACCAGAGGTCGCAAGATGTCGCAAGAGGTCACAGGAGGTCACAAGAGGTCACAAGGGGTCACAAGTTGCAGGCATCATGGCACTCAAGGCTCTGCTCCGCGCAAAGCCGCCTGTGCCAGAGCTACCGCCTCTTGCAGCACATTTAGCTCGGAAGCGTCCTTTCAGGTTCGAATCTCCAGCAGTTGCCCCTCCCTCTCACATGCTTCGCCTGCTTACGGTTCCGCCCTGAGGCTGTCCTGCAAGGCGGCAAGGTGAATGACCGCAACGGTGCCCTCCTTGAACACAAGATCCAGCGCGGTGTCGATGAATGTGCTAGCCTACCAGGCAGTGCCACAGCTTGTCGGCACGGGCACACAGGGCGCAAGACCCAAAGCATTCGAAATCCCCAACCATGGCCTCCAAAAGCTTTGCAAGAGCCTGTTGCAGGGCAGGGGCAGCACCTTGGTAGCGAGGCATGCAGCATCAGATTTTTTTGGGCGTCCGATGAAGGAGGTGTTATTCCACAAGCTCAGCACATTACACCTTCCGAATCTCTTCACTGCAGCTGCCAGGAAGGGGTATTTAAAAAAGAAAAAAACACCCTCTCGAGCGCTGCACCCACGAATACGATGCCCTTGCCCTTCGGATCTTTGGCTTTCCCCAAAGACCCCTCCGCCGTTGCCCACTCCACTTCCAAGATATCCTCCTCCACATCGTCGGTGGCTTGCTGAAGCATCTTCGCCTGGGAGGCCGAACATGGCACACAAAGCCCAACTCTTCCATCCCCAGCACACCAACACAAGCAATCTGTAGGCCAGCCGCGATGTGCTCAGGGCGGACCTCACGAAACCTGCAAGGACAGCAAGGCCAACTGGTAGAAAAAATATCTTCACCGGTATGGTCGCTGCAACAACAAGCAGAAAGAATACCCCAACACCGCGAGAGTCCACCGCAGGGTCCGCAGGTGAGACGTCTCCGTGTACCCTCTGCGCTCCGGTGCCTCAAGGTCTCGAAGCCGAGCATTGCTGTCCCATCCTGCGAAGCACTTCGTCATCGCTTTGGAGGTTCGCGGTACTTAATCACCAATTAAATCTGTATCTATGACCCACTTATAATCCCTTTAATTACCCTAATGTGGTTATAGTTGGGTTAAAGGCGCAAGATACGGGTTTTGTGTGGCCTTTTAAGCCGTTTAGGCTCTCTTAGGAGTGCTCTCTCCTGCTTGCACAGCTTGGAGTTCACGCAGTTCTCTCGGTCTGTGATCTCCACCAGCTCGTGATGGACAAAGATATCTGTTTGAGATCCTGCCGAGAAGAGGCGGGGGAGGTGACACAACTCTACTGTAGCACGAGATGCGGTCATTTAAGCGATTCCAAAGTGCTTCTGAGCAACCTTGCGCATAGTGCGTGACTGTCTGCACCATGAGAGGAATGCGTAGCGAGTTGAGGCCGTCAATCTTGGTGCTGTGGCGCTCGAGCATGAGAGCCATACTTCCCTGGAAGGTCCCGTCCTTGGCAGGTTGAGACACCGCTTTTGGAGCCCTAAACCTTAGATTGTCAACCACAAACTGGAGATCGTACGAAAAAAATGCTGCAAGGTCTCAATGACTGCAGGATTGAACAGGTAGCCACTGTTCGTGCCATCGTCTTCGGCGGCGATTCGCGCAAGCACCTGATGAAGGCGCACCAGCATCCACCAGACGACATCAAGGGAATGGGTGTACCGAAAGTTGCACCTCCTTCTCTCCGCGCAAAATGTGCCGCACGGTCCTGAATCGAGGCTGCAGCGGCAGGCCAATCTTGGAGAAAGGAACCTGAGACCCGCAAGGATCCACACGGAAATCGGACACCCGCACACAGCTCAACTCTCTGGACTTGTCTGCTTTTGAAGTAGGATGCTGCACAATCAAGACTTGTTGGCCAAAGCTCATAGAGGCGTTCGATGGTGACCTCCTCGTCACAGCGCTGTCGCACCTTCACAAGGCAGGGACACAGAACTGCCTGCTGCAGCGTAAGGCAGCATGCTGAGAGCCAGATCTTTGCAACCCTAAACCCTAAACCCTACATAAACCTTAAACCCTAAACCCTCAAAGCCTCTTCCAGATCCAACGATGGGTACTCTGGCTCGACAAAGCTCAGGTCAAGATCCTGAGAAAAGGCGAGTTGCAGGCCCAGTGATGCTGCAGTGTCTGCATCCGAGCCGAGGTGCGCCCTCCGCATGTGTTGCCAGCTTCTTTCTCTCTTTTGGATCGTAGCTGCTCATGGACCAGTGCTGGTCCGGGAAAAGCTCCAGATACCTGGCTGAAACAGACGCACCGAGCACTCCACACAGCGTCAAAGAACCGACACGCCAACCTGACATGGGGGCTGTTTGGAACCCTCATGAACCCTCCACTCCGTTCCTTGTCTTCAAGCCTAGGGTATAAAGAGCCCACTATTTCAGCGCTACCCCCCACATCACTGCGTAGCAGCAGAAGGGACGCTAGATTTCAAAAAACCAGAGCCGAGGTGGCAAGTCCACGTCCCTGGCCAGCTTTCCCTGCTCCTCCCCTTGCTTCAGCACCAGTGGCGCGGTGAAGCCGACCTGCCCAAAACCCCTCGGGTCGCGCATCCTACCATCGGGATGCCTGGCAAAAGCTTAAAGCTCGTCATCCGAAACTCAGGAAGAGGCCGAAGTCCATGAGAGGAAGAGGCTATATACTATTGCACAAACATAGTCTCTGTTTTCTCTGTTTTCTGGATGTTATCGTCTTGCTGTTGGGGGCTTTGGGGACTTTAGAGTTTCAAGAGCCTCGGATTTTTGCTGAAGGGTTCGGGGTTTGGGCAGCTTGCGGTTTTGGATTTCAACCCGGCCTTCCGGATGTTCCATTGCTTGTCCTTGCAGTTCAAGTGGAACTCGCCAGCTGCCAAGACCATCTCCAAATAGGTGGCCCCAGGCACGACAATCTCCCCAAAAATAATGTGATGGCCTTGTAATGCGTCTGTTAGAGGAACCCTCTGCAAAACCGGCGGGAAACACCTATGCTCACAGCGCCTTGGACACTCTGAGGCCTGGGCTCACCAGCTGCAGTAGCTTGCCTCAGCTGCTCGCAGAGCCCTTCTCAACATCATGTCTTGGGACCCTTCATACGACTGACACACGAGAGACTAGAAAAACCCATGCCCGACAACGGCTCGGTCACCAGCGAAGGGTTGTGCAAAGACCTGGGTCCCCTCCGCAGTGCGCAGCGTCCGAGAGAGCAAAGCGTGCCGCCGCGCTTGCCAGGCGAAGGACTGGCGCTTGAAGACCGGCGCGACCTCCGTCGAGGTCACGGGTACGGGCTCGACAGCATCTTCCAGAACCACGTGCGTGTTGGTGCCTCTCAACATTTATGAGAGTTCACAACCCTGCAGATGCAGGGCTCATCCCTAGTGCCCTAGTGCCAGCCCCGCTGATATATGCCGCCTATCAGGTCACCTTTTCTCTGATTGGCAAGAGTGGACAAGAGGGCGCTGCATCTACCTTGAACCTAAGGATATCCTGCAAGGAAGGGCTTACGGGCTCGGGTTTGCTTTGGGCCGAAGGAGCTCCGCGCCTCCGAATCCGAAGGAGGAGAGGCCGGAGGACACGTGGCCCTCGCTCGATGCCAGCTCCAATAACCCTTCCACCGGAATGTTGGTGGGGAAATCCTCCAAGTCGCAGTGGGGGTTGAGCTTCTGGAAGTGCAGGTTGGGAGGAGCGCACCTGCGCGGCAGCATGGACATCACCTTCAGCAGGCCCGCCATCCCTGCGGCTCCTTCCAGATGTCCTGGGTGAGGATTCCGGACATCCAAGAGACCCCTGAAAATCACCCCCGGGGCGCTAAAGGGCCATAACTGGGCCATAACTTCATAACTTCATGCAGACCAGGGGGCCGAGGTTCGTCTTTACCGCACACAAGGCCAGCGGCGCGTCAGCTGCACGGCCCTCACCGAGGGTGTTTCCCAGAGCACCGACTTCGATCGGATCTCCCAAGGCCGTACCCGTTCCATGCGTCTCCATGCAGGAGACCGATCTTGGCTCCAGCTCGGCCTCTGCCAGAGCGGTCGCGATCACCGCCTGCTGTGAAGGCCCATGCGGGGCGGTCTGCGAGCTGCTACGCCCATCTTGGTTCACGGCCGAGCCCTTCAGAACCACCACTGGCTTCAAGCCGACTCCTCCATCCAGCAGGGAGAGCGTGGCCGATCCACAGCCCTCTCCTCGCACGTAGCCATTGGCGGACGCATCGAAGGTCTTGCAGCGACCGTCCTCCGAGAGCATGTGGGCCTTGCTACAGGCAATGAAGGGACCAGGAATGAGGCAAAGATTGACACCAGATCCTGCTCCGACCGTGGATCTGCCGCGCCGGAGGTTGGAGACAATGAAGTCCATAGCCACCAACGAAGAAGAGCAGGCGGTGTCCACAGTGGCACTGGGGCCCTTCAAGCCCAGCAGGTAGGAGACACGGTTGGATGAGATGGAGGTCGAGACGGCCAGCCCTGTGTAAGGGCCGATCTTTTCGGAGGACTCCGTGGAGCCGCTGAAGCCCATGTGGCCCCAGTCATTGTTACATTGGCCTACACAAATACCGGCATCCATCCCGGTGAGGGAGCTGAGGGGCATGCCAGCGACATGGAAGGACTGGTAGATGACCTCAAGGAGCAGGCGCTGCTGCGGGTCCATGACTTTGGACTCTGCAGGACTCAGTCCAAAGAAGGAGGCATCGAAAAGGTCGGCTCCCTTGACGAACGCTCCATGGCGGACCGTCATCATGCCGGGAACCTCCGCGTCCTCATCATAGTAGGCATCAACATCCCATCTTTCCAGCGGAATCTCGCTCACGCCGTCAGTCTTCTTCGTCAGCACCTCCCACATCTCGTCGGGCGTTGTGCCCTCCAAGGGGAATCGGTAGGCCGCCGAATTGACAGCAACTGGCAGCTTGGCGCCCGCAGGCCCAGCCGGGAGTGCCGGGAGTGCACGGGGACGAGCGAGCCCGGCCTTCTTTGTTGCAGGGGGAGGGGCAGTGGAGCTCGAGGCACTCTGGGACGCAAAGGTCGGACGACCTTCCAGCTCCACAGACATGGGCCTTTCGGCCATCTCGGTAACCGCAGCCTCAGTCAAATGACACGATCCCCTACAACTACCACAAACCACGAAGCCCTTTCGGGCACGTTTGCTGTCAATTTTCCCTAAGGTCGCGGCCTGCGCCCGAGCAGCCTGGCTCTCCGAGGTGTCCCTGAACTTGGCTTTGACGATGATGGACCCAGGCTCCAGGACCAAGTCTTCAAGGTCCTCCGGCCGCAATCCAGTTCTCTCCAAGATCTCCTTGATCGCCTGCGCCTTGAACTCCTCCTTCTCCTCCACACTCAGCGAATCGAAGTCTCCCGGGAAGGAGATCTCCAACTCCACGGGGGCTGTGCTGGGGGCCGGCGCTGGCGCCGCCGCGACCGCTGCCAGCTGCTCCGTCGCGAAAGCTGCAATGGCTTTCGTCGTGGGGTGGTCGAACATGAGTGTGCTGGGCAGCTTGAGGCCCGGCAACTCCTCGGAACGTGCGGTTTACAGGGCTCTACCTGAGTGAAGTCCCGGGATCCCTAGCGCACGATATACCAATGACACCAGGCCAGCACGGCACAATAACATATGATAACTGTACGCGTCCCAGGCCTTCGCCACGGAGTTGCGGAAGTCCACAGACGAAAGGGAGTCCAGGCCCGCCTATCAGAGTCTCAGATCGCGCATCACAAGAAGACTTACCCAAGCAGGTGCTCAGAGCAAAGAGAAAAAAGAGAGAGAGAGAGAGAGAGCCACAAGAAATTGTGCCAAACCTGCCAAAACCCCTGGCGCCTCCATGAGCGGTGCATCTCCGCTGAGCTCGTCGACGCCAAGGATTCCCGTAGCAATGCCTTGGACCACTTGGCCCAACTTTGCTTCCAGCTGCTCCGGGGAAAGGCCGCGAAAGGCGGCCGGCAGGACAGCAGCCGCTGCTCCTGCGGTGACGACGGCGTCCTCTTCGCCAGAGAACTCCTCCAGAATGGGAATCTCCGCCCCGAGCTCACGTAGGAAGCGGCCCCACTCCACCTCACATGTCTCGCAGACGAAACGTGCCAAGAGCTGAGGCGGCACATAATGAGGCAGTAACAGAGGCTCTAGTGCTATAGTGCTGCACGGGCCTGTGCAAAACACAGCGACGGAGTCGGCCATCCGCGGTTGCCGTTTCCCACCACCGCCTGGCGGAATGCCGCCTGGACATGTCCCGGCGGAAGGAGCCGCAGAGCCGAGTCAGCTTGCCCTGCGTGGTCCTGTCGAAGATTGACTCGAACTGCGCGAGAAAAAAGACACAGGGATGACACAGGGTCACTGGTCAGGGACAGGGATTGTGATGGGACGTGCGTCGGGCACAAGGCCGAAGCAAGGCGTAAGAACTCTCACGACGCCCATCCAAGGTCTAAGAGTCGTGGGGGGTCCTTGCTGGCCATGCCAACCTCTGCAACGGGGCCCCACTGGACGCTCGAGAACGCCAGGCCGGCCGCATGCCTCCAAAGGCCGAGGCCATCCAGGTAGGCGTTCGAGGCAGAGTAGCTGGTGCCACGTGAGAGCCCAATGAGGGCAGATACCGAAGAAAAGCCGACAAACGACGCCAAGCCGAGGTCCTTCGGGGGAGCACGAGTGACACAAGCGACCCACATAAGCGACCTATTCCAGCCGGGCATGGGGGCCTTGCTCGCTTCGTGCAAGTGCCACGCACCCGAAACCTTCGGCTTGAAGACCTTGCCCATGCGCTCCATGCTTTGGGCCTGCACATGGCGCAGGAAATGTAGGAAGTGCACATCCCTGAGCCTGTGCTGAGCTGTGCTTGCTACAAAGCAAGTAGATTAGAGAAGGAATCGGCTCAGGTTTGCAGCTGCCTGGAGCTCCACAAAGTCGATGATTCCTGCAGCATGCCTTGGATGCTTGAGGGCTTGAGGGCTGGGGGGGGGGCTCCAATGTTGGCATCAGCATCCTGGGTGACGCAAAGAAACAAAAACATGGAGCTTAGCACGCAGGGCTTTCCAACCTGCTTTGTGCCCAAGCTGCGCAATGCCGCCGAGTGGGTTGTCTGGCAGCTCTGATTGAATGCGTTTCATCAAAGCCGTCACCATGTCCTTCTGACCCACATCACCTTGTTTCAACATGAGTGTTGAAACATGCGCTCACGAGACAATGGCATCGTGGCTGTGCTGCCGAACGACAGGCCCAGGTGTGGACGGTGACGCCAGCCTTCGCCTGCCATCGTCCACGGGCAGAAAAGGAAGCTTCATGAAACACACTGCCAGGCACTGCCCTTTATCCATCACCAGCATTACCAACACTTTCACAACCACCAATGTCATCAGCACCGTCACCACCACGACCATCATCACTACCATCGACACCATCACCACCATCACTACCATTGTCATCGTCGTCATCATCGTCATCATCATTATCATCCTCATCATCCTCATCATCACTATCATCCACGTCCGCTTCCGCATCCACATCCCCCTCAACAACTCTATTCGCCCCTGGGCCAGTCACGTCGAGCCTGGAGATCCTCGAGTTGCTTTGCTGCAGCATCGTCACCCGAAGCCACGGCTCCGCGCCGGGAGACAAGGAGCAGGCTGCGGGCTCCAAGGTCCTCCGGCGCAGCGGAAGAGCGTAAGGGTGAAGGGTCGGATTTTGGAGTTCCACACTCAACCTCTTCTACTTTCGGGATAGAGATCAAACTCTTGCAGCCGAATGGCCGTCAAGGCGTGCGCGGTCTGAAGACCCAGGCCGCCCAGCCCGCCGGTGACAAGCTGTGTCTTGGTGGGGTCCTCCAGAGTGTTGACCTGGGAGGGGATTCCCTGTTATCAGTGCTATGTCATTCTTCTTGTGCGTTTTATCATTGCCGCTTTTGCTTTCTAATTTGTATATAGCCCGTTGCTGTCCGACTGCAGCCGAGCAACACCCGGCTTCATGTTGTATCTCGCCAGGCGTGGGACGCGCCTTCCAGAGTCCTCTCCGCCATAGGAGACTTCCCGCTCCACGTCCTGATGTCAAGGGGGGGAGTGCCCCGTGAGCGTGGAGAGCATGAAGGCTGAAGAGAAAATCGCGTCCTCGGGGCCTACTTGGCAAACTGACTTGTGACGAGCACTGAGACACTGAAACCAGAAGATCCTCGCTGGAGAGCTCATCGACAATCGTCTGAGTCCAAGAGCTCAAGGAGGTGGCAGAGGAAGCCGGCCTCAGACTGCTAAAACCCGCGGGCTTAAGGTGGTTCAAAGAAAGCAACGCCCTTTCAGGCGGTCTGAGAGCTTCTGCGATCCGGGCCAACTGAGGCTCGGTCAAGTCGATGACCTGGGCACGGAGCTGCGGGGCCTCCAGCGGCATGGAGCGCATGAAGCCCCAGGCCGTGGCGCCCAGGAGGCCTTTTCCGATGCCCTCCGAGGCATCGGCCTCCTGGGCACCGGCCGTGAGGACGACGAAGCGCAGGGCTCCCAGGGATGCAGCCGCCTGGGCTGCACTCAGCAAGGCAGCCATGGCCGGGCCCTCCGCTGTGGGATCCTCTGCAACCAGGCACTCCGCAAAGACCACCATCTTCCACGCCTTGCTCTTCAAGGCGCCTGCCATGTCGGCTTGGGCGGGCTGCAGCTCGCAGTCGATCAGCTCCCGCAAGGCCTCGGCAAAGGCGCCGCCGCCGATCACCAAGCACGGCTGTGCCTGGGATTTGGGACCTGTAAGAGGGGCTGGGCGCCACTCGCTGGCAAACCAGAAGCCCTGAGACCAGTCGTGGTACATCCGGTGGTATGTCCGGTTCCACTTGAGCTTTTCGGGTCGCTCCAGGACCACGTTCTTTCCCTCTCCTCCTCCAGGAGCTTCCAAGGTGCCATGGCTGTTGGTGCCGGAGAAGCCAAAGGAAGATGTGCCAGCAACGGCCCGCGATCCCTTCCAGTCAATGATGCTGCTCGGCATAATCACCGGGAAGTCGGTCAGGTCGATGTTGGGGTTCATCGATTTCAAGTGCAGGTTCTTCGGCACGATCCTACGCACGGAACAACTTTGAAACAAAGCTCTCTTCGCACCGAGACGGCAACTTGCAGGAGATTACACTTTGAAGGTTCCAAGATGCTCTCCAACAGTCCTGTGGCTGAACTCGCCGATCATCTTGATGAGGCCGGCCACGCCGGCAGAACCTGGGGGCGGGAGCACTCGGAAACCTGTTCTGTTTGACAAGACATGACGCAGCAAGCAAGCACCAGGACCAGCCCATGAAAGTGTGCGGAGACCCAAGACATGGTGTGTCGATGTTTTCTCGGAATCTGACAAATCTCTTGACATGAAGCAGGGGGCCTTCGGTGTGTCCAATGATGGACTTCGTGGCGGCTAGCACCAACGGTGCGTCTTCCGTGCGGCCTTTCCCTAACGTGCTCTTCATGCCACCAACCTCGATCGGATCGCCAAGGGATGTGCCAGTACCATGTACCTCCACCAGGGACACCTCCAGGGCCTTGACCGAAGCTTCCTGCGAGCATGAAAAATCTTCATATTGGCTCGACAGGACATGGGTCTTGACGCAACTCGGCAACCCAAGAACTCGAAAGAGCCCGGAGAGCGCAGCTGCAAGGCAAGAGCATGTCAACTTGCTTCCCCCCCCCCCCCCGCCCCTCTCCTGAAGCGAGGCGTTGATGCAGCGCTGCTGGGCGGGCCCAGAGGGCGCGGTGATGGTGGCGCTGCGGCCATCCTGAACCGCAGAAGAACACTTTTCGGGCAGCCGCGCTGTGCAGCTCAGGGTCGCAAGGTTGGACTGGTTCCCTGATCTGGCCTGGTTCACGCAGACTCCCAGGGCTGTGGCCACTTCCTGCCTTCCGGCCTCACAATTGCAGCGCTCGCAAACGGTGTGCAACGTGGGAGTGCCACCATGTGCCAATCGCTTATCTCAGGCCTTGCTTGCAGCTGACGCCAACTCCACGATCAGAGACCCGGCACCATCTGTGCGAGTGAAGCCGTTGGCCGACTCATCGAAAGTTTTGCAGCGGCCATCAGGTGAGAGTGCCATTCCCATCTTGCAGAAGCCTACCTTGGACGGAGCCAAAGATACTTGGCAGACTTAGTGGAATCACGGCAGCTTATATGTATTTCCTGACTCTCAAGGTTTGGAGAAACCGTATGTGACATGCATGCAGTTTCAGCTTTTCTCGCCGAGACACCCAAGTGTTCGGACAAAGCTGCCTGAAGGTACAAATGGGAAAACACACATGCTGGGCGGGGGGCTGGGCACTAAGCACAGCAATCCTCATTGTCGCGCACACCAGTCTCAAAGCCAAGTGTCAGGTTGCTGCCGGCCACGATGCTTCGGTCGCACTTTCCCAAGCGCTTGGCTTGGGCAGCACAGTCCAAGGCTACCAGCGTCGACCTTGGTGGCAGCTCCGCATGCCCCGAGACCCCCCCCCACCAACTCCGACAGCGAATGGCCAAAATACAGGGACAAGCTGCGAGCACGCCGTGTCGATGGTGAAGCATGGACCGCGGAGACCCAGCGCGTGGGACACACGCCCCGAGTTCCTGCAATCGTCCAACAATACTGTGATCCTCTTCGCCAGGGTACACAAACCGCAGACTCACAAGCCACAAGCCGAGCCACCCTGATGGGAAAGAACCGATGTTTGTGAAGGGGCCGATGTCCTCATCCTTCCAGAATGCTGAATGCTAGGGAGAAACAGCAAGGCAAGTCATGACTACTAAACCGGGCGTGGGCCATTCGGCGCTTACTGAGCGACGTGGGTCAGACATCAAAGCAAGCAGTTTATGGCAGAGGCCGAACCGTCCTGCACGCTGATGCCGCCCAAGGTGGCACAGCCAACGTAGCAACCGCAGTTGGTGTTTGAGAGCTGCTCCTGCCAAAAACAAGCATGAAACATCGTGAGGCGACCCTTAGCCCCCAAACAGTCGCAGCTCCTTGTCAAGGCCAGCGTTCCAGAATGACTCGTAGACAACCTCCAACCTGGGTGGTGATGGAGCTTTTTTTCAACGAGCATGACTGAGCTCCCGCGAACCAGGTTGATTACAGGCAAAACTTTGCAACTTAACGGCACTGAGACGAAACAAGACAAGTTGGGACCTGATGCTGATGGAATACCTTGCAAAAGAACCCCAACCCATCCAGCACGTGCCAGACCACAGATGAACTGTCTTGGCGAGAAGCAGAATTCGCTGGTGCGGGTCCATGGCTTGCGCTTCGGGTTCTGCAATGCCGAACATTTTGTTGTCGAATCCCTTCCAGCGGCATGGCACTTGCCAACACAACGCAACCAAGCAACTTCAAGCAGCGATGACACCATGACTAAACCGATCTGCCTCCAGGCCAAAAATGAAGCCACCCCAGCGAGTGTACCTGAAGTCTTGAGGCATGAAGAGCACTCAATAGGCCAGGAGAACACACGCAGCCGGTGCGCCGGTGCACCTTTGAAAAATGCCCACAGCCTCTAAACAGAGCCACGAGACATCTTGCCCGGAGCGGACGGATCAGGATCGTGGTACTGGTCGATGTCCCAGCGCTCAATTGGGACCGTGGTGATCATGTCGAGGCCTTTGCAAAGCATGGCCCAGTACCTGAGAACAGAAACACAAAAAACACAGCTTGCTGTCGATGCTTGTTCTTCAGAAGTTCATAAGTGCTACAAGGGGGGGGGGGGTACCTTTCAGTCTTAAACACTTGAAGGGGTCAGGGTAGAGGTTCCAGGGCCCTGCAATGCTGTCTGCGAATCTGAGTCCCACGCTCGTCCGTGCCATTTCCATGGCAACCTGGAAACCTGGCTGCCATTCCGATGGTGGCCATCGGCTCGTTCGCGTTCAGATCCCGAATGCCTCCTAGGCGCCGACTCCAAGCACGGCTGATGCTTTGGATGTTTAGCGAACCTTACGGCTCTGCAGAGTAGGCTTGAAAGGCTTGGCGCAACCCTTCGAGTCACCTCCAACGGCCGCATCATCCCCTTCGTCGCCATCACTGAACTGCGCCACGATGTAGTCCGTCAAGTCCGCCACGGTGGGATAATCGAACATGACCTGGGCAACCGGCGTAGAGTGCCCAACCAACAGGGAGATTGATCAAAGCTTTTCGAGCGACTCTAGTCTGTCGGTGAGGGTCCCTTTCCCCGTAGTTTGGAGAACAACCCGAAGATGCGTTGGTGAAAAGAGATGTAGAAGATGCTAGGCTCTCCAATGCTCTCACTCAAGGCCCGGCATAGAAGGCACAGGCCATCTTAAGACAGGGCACGGTGGAAGCAAGGTGGAGGCCATCGAAAGAGGCTTGGACCCGGTTGCGGAACTCGACTGCCGATAGCGAGTCCAGGCCCATGTCCATGAGGGGCACTGAGAAGTCGGACAGGTCGGGATCTCCAAGCACGTCGCAGAGCACGTTGATGATGGTCGAGTTGACCAGCTCCTACACGTTCCAGAAACGACGCAGGAACGTGGCCCCACATGAAAAACCCGAGTAGATCGCCAAGTATGTTTGGGAAACCTTGCTGGCTCGGCCCAAGCCCATGGTTGCAGGTGCTGGGTTTCGGGGAAGCACTAAAAAGGTCCCAAGGCAAGTTTTCGCCGTTCCCTGTCCAAGGGCCAAAAACCGCGTTTTCTACGACACCACCCTCCCCGAAACCCCCAATTCCAAACCCAACACATGCCCCCTTAAATCAATCACCCGAAGCCACACATCCTAATTTTCAACAACTCCCACCATGCCTTGGGCACTCCACCACTTCCCATCTTCACACCTGGCAGCAGCTGCAAACCGCATCGGGCTTGAGAGCTTGCACCCTAAACCGTAATCCAGCGAATTCCGGACATGTAAGAGGCTAAGACCAGCTTAGCTTGTCAGGATTACGGTTTAGCTTTCGGGGGTTCGGGTTTTGGCGGAAATGCCCTGTGAATGACGAGTCTTTCAGTGGCACAGGATGCGGATCATGCAGGACTCTTGCGTCTGGGGCTGAGGCTTACGGTAAGACTTGCCTGGCCTGATGACTTCTTGTGGTGTTGGAAGTTCTCCAGGAAGCAGGGCACTTTCGGCTGGGCGGCAAAGAAGGACGACCAGTTGATCCGGGCAACTCCGACAAGGCCAGGTGGGGAGCTGCTGGCCAAGATGGCACCCATGGCCTGACACCAGTCAACCGTGCACGTATGTGTGTAGGTATTTAAGCATACATATATATATATGGTGCAAGGCTGCCACCCCCCCCCCCCCCCCCCCCCCCCCCCCCCCCAACCACCCTTGGCATCCACCCCCCCACCCCTTCCTCTTCAGCCCGTGGTTTTGATTAGATTCCCCCCCGCCCCCCCCTTCCCCATTTTTTCAGCCATAGATATATATATATATATATATATCTCTCTCTCTATCTATCCGCCGGCCCTTGCGGCGGCGTCAGTGAAGACCCATTATTGACATACCGTTGCAAAGACATACCGTGGGCCCAGGGTCCCGGCGCATTACGAAAGAAGTGGGATTTTCTTACTAGCACCCTCAAACAACACCCCGCCACAAATACACGCACCGAAATATTTGCAAGGAACCCTATATACACTTATGGAGATGAAAAGAACTACAAATGGAAATTGGCCACGGTCCTACTTGGCTTCTATTTAGTCTTCTATTTCATTCCTTTTTTGCTTATGTTATTCAGCCTCATAAAGGTCTTTCACCAAAAAAGTCACCGTCCTTCTAAGAGGTTGAGGAACTATACTTCGAGAATTCATAATTACTGAAGGGTATTTGTATGCATCAAAAGAAGGACAGCTACTTGGACACTAGGACAGTTAGAAATCCTATCAAATCACTTGCACCAGCTTTGTGATGATTTGACCAGCTACTGTAATTCACACAGGCTTCGTGTGATGTTCATTGTGTGATGCAATGATGCAACAGAGATATTGGCCGTATAGTTTTGACAGGCTTTTGGCGGGTTTGAGAAGGGCATGAATGAATGATGGGTAGCCACAGTATTTTGTATTTCAAGTGCTTGTGAGGATTTTAAAAGGGAACGAATACTTAGCTACTCTAATTTGGTTTTAGATCTTCTTCGGGATTCGGTAGGTTCAGATCCTCAGTAGTGTTTCTTGGAATCATAAGGTGACCCACGTCACTCCCGAATACAAAAACGGTGGATAGCTGGGGCGTAGCATGTATGTATGTCTTTTTTGTAGACATATGCATGATGCCGCGAACGAATCTGCGAAGTCCAACTGGGCGGGCCAGGCATATGTCACTACTTATGGACTTCTTGAACAGCGTCTCCTAGTCGGCAAAGAGTGCTGGTGCTCAGCTCAAGACATGTGTTTGACATGCCTGCAAGCTGAGAGTGGGATCCAGTCGCAAGTAGCCACCGCTCTCGGTGGTCCCAGCGCGCGCGGCCATCCCCACTTCGGCCCACGGTCCCCACTGCACGGACACGGCTGGCAAACCTGTGCGAGCCAACATTCAACACCATGACTTCCAAACCCCTTCCTGCATGTCGCGCACGGGCCCTTCTTCCGTATGCTGTCGGTTCTTCCTGCCTTGACCACGTCGGTGCAGGGCAAAGGAATCGAGGAAGGCATTGCCCGAACAGTAGTTGGCCTGGCCAGGACAGCCAGGGTCTTGGCCCACATGAAACGCCTGGTCCCTCCTCGTCAGTCTTACAATCACTGAGCCCGAGTGTTCGTACAGAGCAATGGGAGTTGCGTGCAAATCCGGCGAGCATGCTGGCATGTCTGCTCCTACGCCTTGAGGCGTCTCCGGGCCTGACCGGGCGAACCCAGCATTGCGGCAACAGACGAGAAAAGCGCGAAGAAGTCCACCTCAAGGGCTTGCAGGGTTTTGGGGATGTGCAGATTATATGAAAAGACGACCAAGAGGAGCAATTGGCAGAGGGACCCTTCTGGCAACTCTTGCTATATTGGGGCCCCGACCTGGCTGCTGTCCTTGCCTTCGAGCCCAAGCTTTTGCAGCGCAGAGTGGAGATTCCTGAGATTGCCCGACCCTTGCTTGAATTGCATGAAGAGGCTGCCGATCCGAGCCCTTGCAGCGGTGCTCGCAAACTCGGCAAACTCTAAGGCCAGATCAACGTACCGTCGATCTTGGGCTTCAGTACTGGGACGAAGTGTTCGCGCTGCAGGTCCGCGATCAGGTGATCATCCAGCACCTCAAGATGGAACACACCAGCGAGGCTGAAACATACATCCGTCACAGGAGTCGTCCTGCAGAATCTGAGCCACATCCCACCCAGTCATGCCACATGCGCATTCCGTGTAAGTTCACTCCGTCGACTGAGATCGACTGAGGCTCCGACACCAGCAGCATGCAAAAGTCCCTTCAAGGGCTGCTTGCCATGCACGGACTTCAGGCAAGAGGTCACAGCCTCAGTCACTGTGTTGGCACCCGGTACATATCAGGAACATGAGCCGCGTGGCCAGCTCTGTATACGGGGGCCCCCTTTTCGGGGGGGGTTCCTCTAAAACATGAGGGGCCCTATGATACCAGGACATGAACAGGGGCCCATGTTTCAGCGAACGAAGTGATCTGAGCCACGTGCCTCCAGGTCCGAAGTGTCGCAGGACTGCAAGGTGGTTGCAACACCCGTGGTCTGCAGTCTGGCAAAGGCCTCGGCTCGAAAAAGGGGGGAAGTTGAGAGCTGTCGAATCGTAAGGCTTTAAGGCTCTAAGGGTTCAAAACGAAGGTTGAAGGCTTAAGGCGCTAAGGATTTAAGCGCTTCAAGGTTTCAAAGGGTTTTTTACCTTCCGCTGGCCCATGGAGGAATCGACACGCACCATGCCAGCTGAGACCCTGGCTGCTGCAGAGCCTGGGTCCTCAATCACACCAACCCTGTCCCATGGATCTACAAAGTAGAGTCCCGCAAAGTACAGCCATCATATGCATTTGGACAACTATCTATCTGCCGATTCCTGTGGAGTTCGTCATCCTTCCGCTCGCGTACCCGCTTTGTTTCGTTCCGTTCTCTTTCTTCCCAACCTCAAACCCTGTGCCCTCAGCCCTCAACCCCACTAAGACCCCCCGTCTGGCGGTCCTGCGCAATCTTGCCGCTGCGGGAGAGCAGCGCCAGGTGGCCGGCGCCCTTCTCGGCGAAGTAGGCGGCGAAGAGGAGGCCCAGGCCACCAGTTCCGCCGCTGACGGCGTAGCTCGACTGGCTTAGGCCTGGGTTTTGGGGCATTTCGGGTCTGTTGAAGAGCTAATCAAGGGAGTGGAGTTTGAGGTACAGTCAGAGTCAGGAGCCCATCGAGCTCGGGGACCGATGCAGCTCAGCGGCGATAGGCATCGACATCCACCTCCTGAAACTTCGGAGTCGTCTCTTCGAGGCGGGACACCATCAGGGTGGGGGCGGAGCCCTGGAGGAGCAGCTCGGGCTCCGCCTCGGGCGCCTCGCCCGAGCGATGCGTCTTCAGCTCCCGCAGCCTGGGCCCGGGGCCACTCCGACCGAACCCTTCAAACCTCAAGCCCACCACCCCCAACAAGATGCCCTTCCCTCAATCGCGATAATCGTCTGTGCTTAGTGGCTCACTGAAGCAGAAACATGTGCATATGCATTTATGTACATGTATAATAGATGTCACGAGAGTGTAACCGCACACGTCTCTCCTCTTGCCCTCGGCCTTGAGAAACTCAGTTAAGGTCATACCGGACCATACCGATTACGTGGCGCACCACTTGATAAGAACTGTATGAACCAACAATGTGCTTCAAACTGTGGACGGAAAAGCTGCGCGAGCCAAATGGCAATTGCAGCTTGGATTTCGAAGTTCTATGATTTCAGCGAACCCCAATGGTCAGACAAGTCTTGCGGCAAAAAATGATTTCATTCGCTTTCACGTAACCTCTGGTGAGACTCACTCGATAAGACATATTCATGCAAGTTTCACTCGCCGATATTGAAAAACCATGACGCGCACAGAGATCCCCTAAAACCAGCAAAAAATCAGTGTGCACCATTCTCCTCCCTCGCCACCGCACCCCTTAACCTCCCAAACCCCCCTGAAGTTCCCGGCCTGGCCAGGATGTCCTTTGGGCTCGGCTTCTTGAGCGGGCCAAGGTCCACGCAGCCCGCCAGTGAGCCCGGGGACTCCAGGCGCAGGCACCGCGCCAGGCCCCAGAGCCCGGCATGCAGGGGGAGGCCCGAACCCTTCAAGTCCGAGGCCTCCATGGCCTCTGAGGGCTTGAGAAGTTAGGGAAGTTGGGGATTTGGGGTTTCGGGGCTCTAGGGTTTCAGGGCTTTAGGATTTTAGGGCTTTAGGGTTTAGGGCTTAGGGTTGTTGGAGGGGTTCTTAGGCTTTTCTTGAAGTTTAGGGCCTTTTGGAGCTTGGCTGGGCACGGGCACCCTTCACACACCCGCGCCTGGGTGGCTCGGAGAACGAACCAGACTTCCGGGGCAGCATCGCCCACTTGCAGGGCCTTCTGGATGAGACTCAGACCATTGTGCAGCACGTCGATGGGAGTGTCTTTCTCCGAGGGAATGTAGACGATGCGCGTCAGCTTCTCGTACTCAAGGTCGTTCTCGGACGAGGAGGTGATGTACGCATGCTGTTGGCCCAGCTCCTTTTTCAGGACCTGAGCGGGAGATGGTCTCGATGCTCGGATACCCTGAAGTCCCTCGATCTTTTGTCCTCTTTCTCACCCAGCCCCGGCACTGGAAAACTAGCCCAAAAGCAGCCCAAGACTTCGACAAGCCCTACACAGCCCCCCCACCTCCAGCAGGGAGGCCTCAGCTTGGAAGAGCCAGCGGCCCTCGGCGTTTGCCGAGGGCAGGAGCCCGGCCTCGGAGTCCATCGCCTCCTCGGGAGGCTGCTTCCACCGAGTCTCGAAGAAGCTCACCGCATCCTTAGCCTTCGTGGCCGCCAGCGCCTTCTGAATCTGCTCCGGGAGGACCTTGCGGAAGATCACGTCCTCCAACTTCCACAGCAGGGACCCGGCCTCACTAAACACCTGGCAGGTGAAGATTTGCTGCTGGTCGGTCTTCTCGTCAATGCGCAGGTGCAGGACGACTGGCTGGTCCTTGGGCGCCTCATTGGCCACAACGGTGACCTTGCCGACACCGGCGAAGATCTTCAGGAAGGGCGGATCCTGATCGAACATCGTGGCGCAAACCGCGTGGATAGTGCCATCAAAGAGTGACGGGTGGATGATGTAGCCCTGGTTGGGCACATCCGAGTGGAGCTGCATGCGGCAGGAGATCTCATCTGGATTGCGACACATGTCGTGGCACACTTGGAACTTTGGCCCCAGCCAAAGGCCTGTGCTGTCCACCAGGGGATACAACTTGGCCGGGTCCACCTTCTCTGGGCACCTCGCGGCACAAGCTGAGAGCGTCTGCTCCGGGTCGATGCTTGCTGCCGCCTTCGACCCGCCTCCGACTGCCTCGACCCGTCCTTCACAGTGAACGGTCCAAGCATCATCACCAGGGCCTTGGCTGCGGAGCTCGAAGCGCTTGTTGCCGATGATGGCCAAGCGCATCATCATCTGCTTGCTGTCCGTGTCCCCATCTTTGGGCACCACGAATGGCCAGACCATCTGGATGTCCCGCAGCTGGGCCTCTGGTCCAAGGTGTGCCCTGGCAGCCTCCATGGCCATCTCCACAAAGACGACACCCGGGATAACAATCTCATTGTACACAACGTGCTCGGCTGACACCTGATGGTAACGGTTCATGCGTGCAATGAACCCATGCTTTTGCCACTTGTTTCTGGCACAAATCCCACCTGAAAGACATCGCCGCGGACTGGGCAGTCAAAGAGCACTTCGTTGGGACCTTCGCTGCGGCGCCTCAGGAGCCGGGGGCCTGCGTCCCGCCATGGGAAGGGTTGCCTCTTGTACTGGAGGGCCGGAAGCGCCCCCTGTAGCTGCGAGAGCGCAGACGCAACCGTGCTGCCCTCGGCCTGTCCGGGGAGACGTGGGGACTCCACTCCCACCCTTTGAAGCTATAAAACCCTGTGACACCTAAAATGCTGCAGCCCAAACCCTAAACCCTTCAGGTGCTTTTGATAGCTTCTGTGGACTTTGAAAGCGCATGACTTGTTCCAGAGCAACACTCGAAGCCCGTTCCTGCGATCCTCCTACAATCTCTTCTGAACCCCAAGCACTTCATACTCATGCGCGCCACTCCGTTGTGGTCGGCCTGCCCAGGCTCGATGGAATGCAGCCAGGGCCACTCCTTGCTGGCCGCAGGGCCAGAGGCGCAGCGTTTTCCCATCTTCACCAGCGTCGGCTCCGGGCCAACCTCCAGGCACAGCTCTCTGCATAGTGAAACCGAGGTAGCAGCGGTACATACTTCGGGGATCTTCGGGCATGCAAGCTGGCGTCAGTTTCCAGCCCCTACACGCAAACCCTAGTAACCTCAAACCAATAGTTAGATGCTATTAATGCTATTGCAACACTGCCCCAAACCTCCAGGTAGGCTTCGGGGGCTCCCTGGCTCAGGGCTTCCAGGGCAGCCATGCCATCCGCAAACCTCACCGCCTGCGACACATGCCGGACCCAGTAGTCAGGGCCCGTGAAGAGGTCACTCTCCTCCTTGCCCGTCACGGTGGAGAAGAAGCGCACTTTGGGAGCCGAGAGCTTGGCTGATGAGACCTGGGCGTCATGCCCCCTAAACTTTATAAAGGTGAAGCCACGGAGGGTATTACTAGGGGCTACGGGGCCTCCGGTCTGTAGAGTGAATGGATTCGGCTTTCGGGATCTTCGGTTGTGAACTCTGCCCGCCTCAGTTCGGAAACTCTCGAGCATGGGCTCCATCAGTGGAGAATGGAAAGCATGGGAGACGTTCAGCTCCTGCGAAGGCGCGGGTCGTGAGGCACATAGGCATACACTGCATACTTGACACGCAAGGTCGGCATGGCTCAAGCGCCAAGCATACTGCTTCTTAAAGAGGGGGACAGATACGCTCACTCTTCGGTGTCCAGCACGGGTGCACAGGCTCGGGGTCCTTGTTTCCCGCACCGGTGCTCTGAACCACTTGCTTCACCAAGTCCTTGCGCCCTGCGGACAGCTGTGGAGGGGCACGGGGCGTATTGTACGTGCGCAACTGCAGACACTGCCTGAAATTACTGTCATCTTCGGTCCATTCACCGCGGCCACTGAGACCTCCTTGCGTTCATTGGCGGGCAGCCCGGACAGGACTTGGAGGACGTCCTTGGTTGCATTAGCTCTCCTGCCCACCGATCCCTCGACGACCCCAGCAATGGCACATGACTGAAGCGCAACCGCGCGTCGGCTTCAGGAGCAAAGCCTCGCAATCGGGGCATGCGAAAGTGGAAACAAGAACGTTGCAAAATGATGTGATGAAGCGACAAGAACAAGACAAGCTAGCAATGGGCTAGCTACAAGTAGCACAGCTGGTTCTTGAACAGGCAAGCAGCAGGCTGTCATGCCGCCAACGTTGCCCTCGCAGAGCTCCGCTATCAGGCGCCCCCGCTCTGCCACAAGACGTGCCGCATCCTCCAGCTCAAGGACACCCGCAGTGACGGCCGCTGCATACTCACCTGGTGTGCGGGTTCCGGGTGCAGTGCCCAAGACAATGCAGAGCCCAAGGGCAATGCTGCCACGTGGCCCACGCTGTGGCCAAGAACAGCACACGGCTCGATGCCCATGGCCTTCCACATCTCCTCCAGTACAAACGTGGCTCAGATTCCAGTTCGAAACTTTGCACGGCGCGGAAAAACTGCTTGTAACTTTAAAAAGAGTCTATGTCAGCGTTCGTGCGCACACCACACATGCAATGTTGAAAGCACACCCATGCATGCGCGGACAGGGCTGAGCATGAACACCTGAAAAGAGTTCGCTGAGCGCGGCTGTTTTTGCTCATGGCGATTTTTTAGGGGGAACAAAAACAAGCTTCCGGCTACTTGCATGGGGATGAAAAGACGAGGAAGTTGTCCATGGTGACAAGTAGCAGGCCAAAAAAAACATTCGACGTGCAACTTGCTCCATACACCTCTTCCCTCCATAAGTCCAAGAGAAGATACGGTAATCTGATAAAGTTAATCCACAAGTCTGAGAGAATCTACGAGAATTTCGTGAAGTTGCCCTCCAGAGTCTACGTGCTCTCGCTACACGGACTCACCATCGACCCGTCGCTCCGAGAGCGCATACTCAATGGCAAAGATCGCTGGCTGCGAGTACCTCTCCATGCTCCATGTCCCAGCAGCTTGGATCTCATCAAAAACAGGGCCAAACAGAGCGCACTTGGTGAGGTCCAGCAAACTGCGGTTCTCGGCCTGAGGCTGCTTGAGGCACTGGGCGACAAGGACCCTGAACCGCAAAGGCCCTAAACCCGAGGCCTTGAAGAGCACATCCAGAAGCGGCTTCTCAAGCAGCGGATCCAGCAGCTCTGCGCAAACATCCAATGCAGACCGGAAGGACTCCTGAATCGTCTCAAGTCATCTGGTGGAACGCGCAAGCAACCTTCAACCCTCACAAATCTCTTGAACCGAAGCCTTGAACCCGAGTCCAAAGCCACGAAAAAAAGTCTGTCCTCGGAGGAGTAGAGGTCCTGGCCCATGCCAACGCGTTGGGAGCCCTGACCCGTGAAGAGGAATGCCACTCGCTTCTTGGACGCAGTCTTCGCCTCCGCAGTGGTTTATAGTTGAGGGCAAAAGGGGTTTATATGAAGTATTTGGGTTTGATGAACTCAACGGCTTGGGCGGTTTAGGATCAGTCTAGGGTTCACGGCTTAGGGACTGCTGCACCATCTCTGACGTTCGCCTTCGGGACTCCATCGGAAGGCGTGTGCTTCATGATCACGTGGGCATTGGTGCCTGTTGCCGCAACTCGCGTAGTCAGAAAGGGCTTGAGGTTTGAGGCAGAGCTGACACACGCAGCAGCTGCCCGTTCTCTCCGAGCTGCCTCCAAAACCAAAGGAGGAAAGGCCTGGCAAAGGCACTGCGTCGTACACCCTGCCGACTCCGCTTCATTAGAACATATGGTTCCGTCGCCGCACTGCAGAAAAGATAGAAAAGAACAGCACCCTCCGTCTAGCTCGCTGCCTGATGTAAGCTTCTCTCCCTGCAGAGGCTGCGCAACCGTTGGAATCTCAGCGGCGAAATCCTCGAGGTGTGGCATTCACTTCACAAAATTCGTTTGTGATTCTAGCAGGAAAGGTTGCCACGCAAGTGCATGTCATGAACAAGCTGTACTCAAGGATGTAGAATGCTCTCTCCTCGAGGTCGATCGTGGGGTTCAACTTGGCAAAGTGGACATTGGGAGGAACCGTGCCTTGGGCAAAAATGCAGTTCACTTGCTTCTCATGGCCTGGTAAACGGTGCCACGCTTGCGCCCGTGACTGAGGCTTGGCACTACGCTGCAAGGCGAGCAGACTTTTCACCAGTCCTGCTGCGCCCGCCGCTCCCTCCAAGTGTCCTCAGTATGGGGGTTCCACTTCGAGGGCTCAGAGTTAGACGGGATTGGAGCTTCAGCAGGGCAACATTCACATGGTCCGAGAATCCGATGTTGGTCTTCACCGTGGCTAGCTGCACAGGCATCGAACGCCCCTGGGCCAATACAGCCTTCAACGCGCCAGTCTCGATGGGATCGCCAAGAGCAGTGCCCGTACCATGGCACTCGACCAAGTTGATCTGTGATCCAAGCAGCTCTGCCGCTGACAAAGCCTTGGGGGCTGGGGGGTGGGGGACAGCATCCACCGAACACGTGACATGCGCGTCATGCATATTCATCATGGAAAACTGTTAGGCCTACGCTGCTGCGGGTACACTCTGCTTCTTGCGATGGCTGGGCACATGCACGAGCTTACTGGTGTAGTGCACAGGGTAAGGAACGAGTTTCACGCTGAGCCTTTAAACCGCTCGACGAGACACCTTGCGGATGGCATCCTGCTGCGCCGGACCATTGGGAGCTGTCAGAGTGGAGCTTCGCCCATCCTGGTTCGTCGACGTTGAGGCTATGGCAGGCAAGGAAGCCGAGTCCTCTGCGCCCGCAATCTGCAGCAAAGCCGAGCCACAGCCCTCTCCTCGCACGTAGCCATTGGCGGACGCATCGAAGGTCTTGCAGCGACCATCTGGCGCCAGCATGCGGGCTTTTGAGAAGGCCACAAAGGGCTCGGATATCAAGTTCAGCTGCACGCCCGTCATCAAGGCCGCCAGCATGCCCAGGCCCAGCTTTTGGCAGGCAATGTCGAGAGCAACCAGAGATGAGGAGCAGGCCGTGTCAACAGATGCACTGGCACCCCTCAGCCCGAGGCTGTAAGAAATTCGGTTCGAAGAGATGGATGCATGCGTACCGGGACCTGTGTAGGGATTCGCTGCACGCTCCCTGGAGAACTTGGCCCAATCGTTGTTGCACTGTCCTGTGACAGAGATTCTCGTGAGACGCTTTTGTCTTCAGAGGCTAGCAGATACAGCACAATCCGACTAAGCCATCGGAAGAACGGCTTCCGGGACCTCTTCCAGTGCACACTCAGCATATGCAGAGAATTTTGCATGTGTTTGCAGAACACTGTCCTACGAAGACACCGGTGTCGGATCCCAAAAGGGATTGCTTTGCACGGCCCGCATGGTGGCAGGCTGCATAGGACATCTCCAGGGCCAGTCTCCTCAAAGCGCTCTCAACAGAAAAAATGCAGAGGTTATGCAGCTTTGCAAAATGCGTACACACTTTTGCTATCGCATGTTGCCGATCCTAGCACAGTTTGGGAGCTGGGTTTGAGGATTTTGCCGACAGCAGCGGCTAATTCGCAAGCAAGTCGCTGCTGTGGATCGATTGTCTTGGCCTCTGCTGCGGACATGCCAAAGAAGCCCGGATCGAAGAACTCCGCGCCCTCCACAAAGCCACCATGGCGGGCGTACATCACGTTCCCCAGTGCCTGCAACGCGCTTCTTTCAGGGGCCCCGAGATGCCACGCTCCACACGTCGCGCTGCTCAGGCGCGCCTCCATGTCTTGATCAAAAACTTCTTGGAGATCAAAGCGTGAGAACGGAATCTCCTTGTCCAGACAGCACATTTTTCAGCCAGATCAAGGTCACCGCTACAGATTTTGACCTGGGTTATTTAGGGCCTTCCTGGGGCCCTGGCTGTGATTGCATCCTGGCGCTGGAGCCAACGGGCCCAGCAGGATTCCAAACCCTCGGGGCCCCCTGGAAAGAAGGCCGAGAGCCCCTTGACGGCCACCGTGTAACTTCCTGCGCGGGGCGAATATGCAGATCACCCATGCCGGCAAGGAGGAGTAATGTGAGAAACGATCCTGATCGCACGATGGCTTTGGCTTCGGGAGTAGCCGAGACAGCTGGCGATTCGGGCTGAATCTGGGACTGCACCAGATCGGCGATGGCACGCAGCGTGGGGTGGTCGAACATGAGCGTGTTCCTCGGGTTTCACAAAAGAGAGGCTAGTTCTTCATAGGGAAGTAAGAAACCAGGAATGCAATGCAGGGGGTTCTATGGGGCAATCTCAACATACTTCAGCTCGGATTCGGGAACTTGATGCCCGCCCCGGCTTCAGCTGTGAGACGGTTGCGGAATTCCACGGAAGACAAGGAGTCCTGGCAGGAACAGGCTGATTGCTCCCTGCCTACGCACATGGGCCCAAGTGAAGAAGCGTCAGTCCATGCCAGCCGCCATCAGGGGCTCATCCATGTCCACAGCTGATCCAATGACATCTGCAGCAACAGAACCTGAAGCGCATCGACCGACACAAGGTCCCGCGCTCCGATACCCACGTGCTCCCACATGCCCCAAAGACTTGCGCAAGTTTCAAAAGTTGCCACCACAGCACTGATCCATCCACCGACGGCTTCGGGGCTCAGAACTGCCACCTGGGCAACAGTCGCCAACACCAGGGCTTTGAGGTTTGGAGTCTTAGATGGCTTTAGAAATTTTCATACCGTTAGGATGGATTTCCTTTGAAGCTCTCCCTTCCCGCCTGCTGCGCGTCGGCAGAGGCACGCTGGACCGCGGACGAGCCCTGAAAGTCCTGCTTCTGCCGTGGGGCGCGACAGCTCCACCCCTGCCCCGCTTCCCCCCTCAGTCCTTGAAGTAGCTCGGGGCTCCCCGGGGAAACCTTCCGAAGGTCAGGGAAGAGTTCAGGGCATGACCTACAGAGGCCTTTCTTACCTTCCTGGCTTTTCATCTTTTCCGAACCGAGCTGAGGGCTGCTTCAGGAAGCCAGCCCACTGAACCAGAGCGCAGCCCAGGCGTCCGCCGGCCAGGGGCGTGGTCAGCGCCGTGGACCTCACGGCGATTCGCACCAGGATGAGACAAAGCGAGAGAGAGAGAGAAAGAGACAAAGAGAGAAAACGAGGAGGCTGTTGCGTCTTATGAAGAGATGGAGTGAGTGAAGCCGAGCCGTGGGCAGCACCGACATTCCCAGCCTGTGCGACAACCATGGCTGTTGCAGAATCCAACAGACTCTCACATACTCTGACATGTTCAAAGTGTGAGCCCATGGCTCATTGCTGATGCCATTGATTTTCAACCTGGAGAAGGAGTTGTTCTGGGCCTCAGCCCAGCTGGAGCTCCGCAACACAAGGAGAAGTTGTGAGTTCAAAGAGGGATATTGCAACCATGGTACCAAGACAAAGCAACTAAGCCTGCTGCGGCCATGCCGACCTCCAACCAAGGACCCCATTGTACGCTGCCGGCCGGCACTCCGCTGAGTCGCCAGTGGTGTGCCAAGGCATCCAGGCCTCGGATGTTGCTTCGTGTGTTTGCGTCAAGTTGCTTCGTTGCTTCCACGAGCTGTGCTTGAACAGAGGTTTCTCGCCCACAGAGAGGTGAGCTTCGGACACGTGTTGGCTGCAGCATAATTCCCTTGACCTCACGCCGGCGCGCGGGAAGCTGGGGGGTGCTCGGCAGCCTACCGTCACAGGCCTGCTGCACCCAATAGGGCTGCAGTGGAAGAGTACAGCACAAAGAAGTCCAGCGGGAGGCCATCAGCTGCGCTGTGCAGGTGCCTGCAAAGCATACTTCTGCTCCAATCCAAACATGACGGAGCAGGTGTGGAAGCAGCGAAGACATGTTCTCAACAACTCGGCATCTTTCAACATACTCGTCCAAGCGTCTTTGCTCCCACGACCTTGGCGCCATAGGCCCGCTCGAGGTTTTGACGAGACAGCTGGGGCAACATGGCATCATCCAACACCTCAGCATACGCAGCGGCCATAACGTATGACTCTGTAGGACCATCTGAGACAAGTTTAAATATTTGCATCAGCGTGCAAACACAAACACAGCACAATGAAGCATGCGGTGTGGCCTGGAATGCAACTAAGCCTAGCACCCCTGCTAGATGGAGCAGGCCCCGCACAGGCTTCTTCCCCTTGCCAGTTGGCTCCGCAGAATTGAACCTCTTCTTGAGTTCGGCTGCGCCCGCTGCGGAAGCAACGTCGCACGCCAACGCGCACGCTTGGAGGCTGGACTGCTGCAGCCACTTCCACTGCTGCTCAACTTCAGATCCCGGGCGACCACTGCGAGAAAGCAGCAGCAAGCTCTTGGCACCCTCCTCTGCAAGCGCTTGGGCTGTGATCAGGCCCAGGGCACCCATGCCACCCGAGAGCACGTAGCTGGCTTCGGGGGACAGCTTCATCCGCGGCGGCACTTTCAGCACCACTTTGCCAATGTGCTGGGCCCGCTGCAGAAACTGTAGGGATTCCACTCCCTTCTCCAGGCCTTCGAACTCATGGGCCGGAAGGGGCTTCCAGGAGCCTGCCGAGCAAGGACACTGAGAGAGCCCCACTTTCCCTCCCTTCGCCCTTCCCCTCCCACCTCGCAGATCTTTCTCGAGTCTTTTGAGCAAGCCCTGGTAGCGGTCAGGTTCATTCTCACACACCCCGTCGATGGCAAGAAGGTGATACTTCACGTCCGCCCGGAACTTCTTCACCTTTCACCGACTCAGCTCGGGCTCCCGTCTCGTCTAACGGCATCACACAACAGAAACATGTGTCCGGGCCTCCTCCACGCTCCAAACATCACGCTTGCCGATCTCCACGAAACGGCCGCCCTTCGCCAAGAGGCCCAGGCTTCGGCCAATGAAGTTGTCATGGCTGAGTGAGTTGAGCACCACATGGATCCCATCGGAGCCCTGAAGGCAAGAGCTGCTACAGAAGGAAAGCCACGCACGCATACGCACGCATCTCTGAGCCGGAGCCCGGTCGGAGCCTTGAGGAAGCCCTTCATCTCTGTCTCAAACTCTTCTCCTGGGCTTCAAGCATGTGTCTGGCTGTCAGACGCTGGCTTCCTTCAAGAAACACTGTCAGGAGACAGTGAAGACAACTGCAGGCTGCAGCGAAGCTGCCGTTTCTCGATGACGTGATGAACTTGACGCCCAGATCTCGCAAGAACTGGCGCTTCTCATCCCGACCGGCCGTTGCATAGACCTGCCCAAGCGAAACTTGAGAAACCCCGTTTCCAGAACCTGCGACAGTCTGTCTTGTTTCTGCGCTCCTTGCCTCGGCTCCAAGGCGCTGGGCATACTGCACGGCAACCAGTCCCACGCCACCGGTGGCAGCATGAACGAGCACCTGAACCAAGAAGCACAACCGACATCTTGGCTTCACCAGCTTTACCCATATCGACTCTGCTGACTATAGTGACTATACTGTCGTACAGTGCCCCGGCCCCGGGCACCCATCGGCCTTTTCCCCTTTCTTCAGCTTGGCCAACTCCGCAAAGGCCACATCCACCGTGGTGTACACCGTTGGCAGCGCGGCGGCCGCTGCGGGTGACCAAGCACCCGGTCGTGGCACCAGCAGCTGCCAGGGGGTCTTCGCCTCAGCTGTGTTGCGGCAAACTTGCGGTGCTCAAGCAGCCAAGACAGCTCCTGTCCTCATGAGCACGGCAACGACCGGGGACAACACGTATGTCTTGAGACAGCCCCAGACGATCCCAAACGCGTCGTCTCCACAGCGCAGTCCGCCACCTGAACAATCATGCAGATAGCATGCGGCCAATCAAGCTGAGCCATGCCGGAAATTGTGTATCAGGCCTTTCTTGTCGTTGATATTCAGGTTCACCACCTTTGGTGCAGCCATGCAGCCGTGATCAGCCATGGATGCATCACGGGACCCAACGCGCAACTGGGCAATGCTTAGGCTCCTGACAGTTCCACTGCAATCCAGGCCTGCCAGGCGCCAGCTTGTATTTTCTCTGCTTGCGAACCTGCCCTGTTGCATAAGGACATATCGCGCACGCCGTCTCTGCATGTGAAGGAGCTTGACACATCTTTGCTTGCTGCGAATTGTGCGTGACTCACGCCTGGGTCACCCGGGTCCCCGGGGTACATGCCCATGACCTGAGATGAGATTTGGGAATGCAAGTCGGTGGAAGCCTCGTGCAGCAGTTGGGGGTCTTTGTGGGGCCCATCATGAAGCATCGAATGCAACTTGGCCACGTTGAGAACATCTCTGAAGTTCAAGCCAATAGCTTCCACACGCACTTCAACCTCTCCATCGTTCACCACGGGCCTCTTCGTCCTCACGACAAGATTCGAATCAGGATCCACAAAGACCTCCCTCCCTCAGCCTGAAGCCACGAACCCTGAAGCCTCGAACCCTGAAGCCTCAGCCTGAAGCTTTTCCGCCTGAAGCTCTTTTGCAGCTTGGCGTCTGGGGCACTGGGCGCAGATTCGTCAAGCTGCCGCGGCGCGGCATGTGGAGCCTCAGTGGCCTTTGCGCTTTCAGGGAGCTCCGTGCCAGCCGGGCTGCCAGCACAGCAGAGCGCTGCGCCAGGTCCCCCTCGACGGAGGCCCAGAAAGCCGCGGTGTCGTCAGTGTTGCCGCTGCCCGTTTGCTTGTCCCAGTCCTTGCCATTGAGGTCCACGCACGTCACCCGCACGTCTGTCTCCATGCGGGCAGACCTCGCCAAACCCCAGAGACCTCACAAAGCTGTCAGGGATATGCCCCGCAAACTACCATGTTGGATTTTGCACAGGCGCTGCATTCCCCGCCCGGACCTGCGTGGTCGGGATCGTGCCGCTTGGCATCGGTCATCTCAGGTGGTTGCGCTCCACCTTCGTCCGAAAGGGCACTATGTGAAAGGTGCATCTCTCTCACAGAATTCTTGCCTTTTGCTGTCTTTGCTCCGGCCTGTGACAAGCAGAACATGGGGAGGCTGCGAAGCTGCCACAGCAGCTTGAAGAAGGCGCAGGGCGGCGTCCAGTGAATCCAGCTGATCACCGGAGCCATCCAGCACCACAGTCGCAGCATCTCCAGCCTTGAGCGCAGGAGACGATCATAGACGATCGAAGAAGGTCCAAGGTGATTGGCTGAAGCTCAGACTCGTTGAAGGAGCCCGTCTGTTCGCCATAAATTATTGATAATGCAGGCTAAACAAAAGTGGACATGAAGCCAAGCCTTGATTGCGGAGACCGCATCATCCACGGCGGTTACTACGCCTGAGGCTCCCAAGTAACGACGAAGCAGCGATGCAACGTGAGAGCTGAGAACCATGCTAGCATCGGGCAATCCGACCATCTTGATCAGCTTCTCACCACGCGCCTTGCCTGTCAGCAAATACATCTGGCAACATCCACTACAGTTCTCTACCCCCCTCCCCGAGGCACCTACGCTACTCCTTGTGCGTAAAGCCACGTTGATGTTGGACATGCCATGAACCCTGCAGTCCTGCCTGCTGGGCAGACCACCACGGCCGGAGATTGAAGAGCCTTCTTCGTTGCGTCCTCGGCGTTGCCCACAAGTGCAGCGTCCTTCCACTCGATGTCATACCTGGGCGGAAGCGGTCCACGGGCCCTGGACTTCGCAAACTCCCTCGTCTAGATTCTCTAGAACATCTGCACGCTTCTACGCGCCCTGCAACTTCCAACACCCTTTGCCCAGGCACAGGGAATCGTCCGAGCCATCCCGCTCCTGGGTGGCAGATGGATCCGCTCGCCTGCAGCTGGCACCCTCCAGGTACGCGGCCAACTGGCCCTCAGAGTTGAAGATCTCCACATCCGCGACCAGGGATGCCTCGGAGCGCTCCTGCAAAGCAAGAAGAGAATGCGAAACGCTTCGTACATGGTACCGAGCACTTCAATCGTTCTTAGACAGGGTTCTTAGTTCTTAGCTGCGGCTGACGTATCGGCGTACGACGGCATGAGATGAAGGCTCCTGAACGCGGACCGCCGCCCACAACTCCCCTGGTGGGCATTGGGCAGCAATGGTCGTCCGCCGCACAGCAAAGGGGAGGTAAGTCGCCTTCTCCTGGCCCTGTCTGGCCGCCAACTCCACAAGTAACTGCAGAGCGCCGTCGAGCTGTGCGGGGTGCAGCAGCTGCAAGGACTTCTCCCATGCTGCACAAGCAGCCTTGCACGGATCCTGCAAGCGAGCCAGCGCACCGAGATCTGAGAAGCAAGCCGTGCTGCTCAGAGTCTGAAAGGATGTGCCATAGCTCAAGCCTCGCTCGGAAAACGATGCGTAAAGCTGGTTGACGTCTTGCTCTGGTTGCTGGTCCGCCTCAACCAGCTTGCGCCAGGTTTCCAGCTTGTCTGGCTTGCGCTCGAGGAAAGGAACAAGGTGGGCAGATCCAAAGCGTGCGTGTACAGTTGCTTCGGTGGGAATACCATCCTCCACTTGGACACTGGCAACTTCGGTGCTGTCGGACGAAGCCACGCATCGGACACGCATCCCGCCCTCGTCGGAGACCACAAATGGCACTTGAAAGATGGCATCAGAGAGCTCCACAGCTGCAAAGCTCTGTCCAGTGCCCTCTGCGAGCCGCAGATGCGATGCTGCAGCGAGAAGCAAGTGGCTGGCTCCCGGGAGGACAACACGCTCAAAGACACCTGGAATAGGCTCAGGGAGGAATCCAATATAAATGCCGGTCCTCTTTGTCTTCTTCAGATGTGGTAACATTCACACACCATCCCTCAACAACCACTCAGCGAGCCCGATGTTGGGTCAGTGGGAAAGCAAGAAAGAACCAGAGAAGACGCTAAGAAGACCTCTAGGATGTCGTATTTTCGATGTGCTTGGCGCCAACGACACCTACCATTACATGAGTTTCGAGGCAAGCCACAATGCTGCTGGAAGAGCTGCATGGCTTGGCTGTTAATGTCCACTGCCATCTCGCTGGTCTCGAAGGTGGAGACTCCGGCATCCGTGCCCAACTTCTGGCCCAGCCTGAGCACTGCACGAGCAGATAATGGTTTGCCCACGGACGTTGAGGGTTACCTCTTCCTACGTTCAATCCTTTGGCCTACCTGGCTTTGGTTTTGCTGTGTTATCGCAGGGAAGGGTGGGGCGGACGCAGACCCCAAATGCCGTTCAACGGTGCCAGTACAAGCCTTTCACTTTACCGAGCGTGTTATTGCATGCAAACAGCCTGCTTATGAAGCGAGAAGAGAAGGTAAGGGTCAAAGCAAACGAGGGCTGCTGGATTGCCTCTGGCTGGGATGTGCTAAAGCGGGAGGTTCCGGGGGGGGCGGGTGGGGGCAGAGCGCAAACCCCACCCCCAAATTTTCGATAGTGTCAGTACAAGCTCTTCAATTGAGTTCAAAGTCTTGCATAAGCGGAGTCTGGAAAACAGACGCGTTTGCTCCGACAGTTTTGGCAAGCTTCCGGTGCAAAAATGGTACTGTTCTAAGGGCCTTTAGGTCAGATTCAGAAGAAAGCGTTGGATAGCGCACCTTGGATGTCGAAATTTTTGCCCCAGCAGACTGTATCAGCAAATCGCCACCGTCCAAAACGACCCCATGATGCCTTCAGGCCCCGAGGGGCAAAACATTGCCTCTCCTCTGTACTTGCACTGGTACGAGTACTAGTATGAGTAGTAGAATTTCAATACAAAGTAGTAGTCGTCGTCGTCGTAACAGTCGTAGCAGTCGTAGCAGTCGTAGGAGTAGGAGTAGGAGTAGTAGTAGTAGTAGTAGTAGTAGTAGTAGTAGTAGTAGTAGTAGTAGTAGTAGTAGTAGTAGTAGTAGTAGTAGTAGTAGTAGTAGTAGTAGTAGCCATGCGCGCTTCCTGGCGCCTGGTCGTTTCTAGGGGGGGGGGGGGGGGTGGGGGGGGGGGGGGGGGGGGGGATAAGAACGTCATTCGTATTGCGTCCATGCACAAACGACTGGTATTTACAGCGTTTTTGCCTTGGCCTTGCACTTGAGGGTTTGGGCTTGAGGCTGTACTTTTGGGCTTTTTCTATGGGGTTTAGGGTTTAGGGTGTAAGGTCATAGGACTTTTGAATTTGCACTTGAGAGTTTGGGCTTGAGGCTGTACTTTTGGGCTTTTTCTATGGGGTTTAGGGTTTAGGGTGTCAGGTCATGAGACTTTTGAGCTTGCACTTGAGAGTTTGGGCTTGAGGCTGTACTTTTGGGCTTTTTCTTTGGGGTTTAGGGTTTAGGGTGTAAGGTCATAGGACTTTTGAGCTTGCACTTGAGAGTTTGAGCTTGAGGCTGTACTTTTGGGCTTTTTCTTTGGGGTTTAGGGTTTAGGGTGTCAGGTCATGAGACTTTTGAGCTTGCACTTGAGAGTTTGGGCTTGAGGCTGTACTTTTGGGCTTTTTCTTTGGGGTTTAGGGTTTAGGGTGTAAGGTCATAGGACTTTTGAGCTTGCACTTGAGAGTTTGTCAAAGGACTTTTGGGCTGTTTCGATGGGGTTTGGGATATGTGGTGGGTTTAAGGGTTAAGGGTTTCGGGTTGAGGGAGCCTCAACAAGTCTGCAGATCTATGACGTGCGAACTGTCTGAAACACTCGCAAGAGTATTGCCACCTGCAAGGATGGACTGTTTCATTGGCAGCGGGGCGAAAACGCTGTAAATACCTGTGTTTTGGCCATAAACCGCTGTGAATACCGGGTTTCGCGTTTCGGGCTTCGATTTTGGCCTTAAAATTAGTTAGCGCGATTTTCGCGTTTTCGGACTTTTTACACACATGTGCAAATACATCGCAAAAACCATGCTTTCCAGCACCTCACACACCCCAAAGCACCAGGCGCCCTGAGGCGCGCAACCCTAGTAGTAGTAGTAGTAGTAGTAGTAGTAGTAGTAGTAGTAGTAGTAGTAGTAGTAGTAGTAGTAGTAGTAGTAGTAGTAGTAGTAGTAGTAGTAGCAGTAGCAGTAGCAGTAGTAGTAGTAGTAGTAGTAGTAGTAGTAGTAGTAGTAGTAGCAGCAGCAGTAGTAGTAGTAGTAGTAGTACTGGTAGTAGTAGTAGTAGTAGTAGTAGTAGTAGTAGTAGTAGTAGTAGCAGTAGCAGTAGTAGTAGCAGTAGTAGTAGTTAGTCGTAGTCGTAAGTTGCTTACCATTTCTGCCGATTGTTTTTGCTTGTATTTTTCAAGCCAGAATACAGATTCTACAGCAACCATTCTTCAGATGTTTTTTGTTGTCGCGGTGCTTGTTGAAGGCCACAAATAAGCCATCGGACTTGATTGCTCGTCGTTTCTCGAACAACGGTCTTCTCCCTGCGTTTTGACACGTTTTGACAGGCCAAACACAGGCTTTGCTGTGTAAAGAAAGCATCAGTTACTGTCACCGCAGGTAGTAGTACTGTAGCATCCATGGCTGAATCATGATAGCGTCCATGCTACCAATGCATCAGTCTCCCAGAGTTTAAGGTAAAGGATGGGTAAAGGGCTTGCACATTTAAGGTTGCGCTTTTTCGAAGGTGCACCGTCGCACCACGGTGGCCAAGGGTAGTAGTCGTCGCGGCAGTATCGGTCGTGGTCTGGCAGGTAGCGATGCAGTGGCAGTGCTCGTTGTGTCGGGAGTGGCTTAGGAGAGCTCAGGAGTCGAGGGTCTCAGGTTCATCTTCCAATGGGCGACGAGCGTCAAAGGGTGAAGCAGTGGCGCTCGCCAGGGCAGCGGCTGTGGCGTCAGCTCCGAAGGTCGGTCGAACGCAACGCCGAGGGCTCGCGAGCAGATCAGCATACTCTCCACATCGTCTCCTCGGGACACGTCCCCCTTCCTGCTAACATGGGCTCTCTCGCACAGAGGATGTCCGAAAAGGCCCTAATATGCCCTAATTTGCATCAAAGACGACCTTGAGGCCACTAAGCCAAGAGGCTGCCGGGTTGGAGGCTGGCCAGCCACTCCAGCTTCTCCAGGCCAGACTGATCCTTGGCCTGTTAATAATTTTGAAGGGAGGTGTCGGCTTTGCTTGGACTCATGAGACACCCAGCCTGCTCTGCCACACATCGGCGGCCCATCCTAAGCACACACACACACACCACATGCATCATGCAAGAACATATTGCTGTGGCGCAGTGCACATCACAGGAGTCTCCACAAATGTGCCCAGCCACTTGACAAGAATGGGCTGCGGTCCAACCTCCAAGTACGCCTCCGGAGCTGGAGACTCGAAGAAGGTGAAGCCACGCTCATCACAGATTGCAAGATTGCTCTAGCTTTTCGACTTTAGTCATGTCGCTGCCATACGCCCTACTGCAACCCATCCTAACCCGGAACCTACACCCCAGCATCTTTACTCGGTCCAGATTGCCTCGCAATTGAGTCGACGAAGCTCTGCCATGCCTGCCAAATTGAGAATCTTTGGGAGCACTGGGCTTCAGGCTTCATGGATTCGGGGTTTAGGGGTAGGGCTTGGGTCATTATGGTCATTGCACCTTGGACAAAGAGCATAGGCTTCGGCTCATCGTGGCCTAAGTGCCCAGGTGGATGCCTCAAAAAACTCGGTAGCGTTGTCCCAACCGTCAACACTAAAGCCTAAACCGGATGAGCTGTGGGTCTGAGCTGATGGCCCACCCAATAGTTCGGATCGCAAATCTCTTTGGTAACCTCCTTGCCGGTGAGGCTGGAGATGAAATGAATGTCGCTTCGTGGTGGCTGGAGCCTCAGGTGATCAAACTCGGCTAAACCACAGTCGAAAGAAAGCTTTGGAGTGTAGGGTTCGGGGCTTCTTTCAGGGATCGTACAACAGTGTCGCGGCTGAGCGACTTGCACGCCTGCATCGCCTCACGCAGTTCTGGTAAGATAGGTGCCATCAGCGGCGAGTGCATGGCATGAGGGATGCTGAGCCTTGGCCAGGCATGGGTCACGAAAGCAGTGGCCCCCGAAAAAACAAAACAACGAGCCAAGCAATGTGAGGCTCATAACAGGCAGCGCCAAGCGGCATTTTGCTTTGAGCACCAACTTTCTGGCACACCAGCCTAAGCTCAGGCGAGCGGGCAATAAGAGGATTCTCGACACTCTAGGATACTCTAGGGGTGCAGTTAACTGCGGCCAGGCTTCTGCACTGCGGCTTTGTGTCCAGACACAACCGTCTGCATTGGACCATTCAACGCCTAAGGGCTCCGAAGCAACAGCTACCAGTACTAAAGCAACAGGTACTGTAAAGATCTACAAATACCTTGTTTCGATCAGATGGGAGCGGGACGGCAATCACCACCGTCTGCTCCTTTGGCAAACCCTTCTTCACTTCCTGCACAGCCTCATCGGTGCAAAGTGGCACCCGTCCACATGAGCCTTCGGTTACTTCTGTTACCCAGCCTTCTTCACATCGTCTTCCGATGCAAATATTGAAGCCATCCCACCCACTCCTGCACATTCGAGGCCCTTGACGTAGCAGCGGCCCTAGCCAGCTTTCCCCCCGAAAGTCTCGGATCGGCCCCTCGGTCCTATGTCGCACTTCTGGTCGATGAGCTCCGCACGCCTGGCCACCAGCTTCAGACCTGTCTCCAGGGACATGGTCCCGGCCAGGACAGCGGCGGCGTACTCGCCCACCTTAGGATCCCGCCACGCAGGGAGGCAGTCTTTAATAGTTGGCTAGCTCACTCTCTTGGTGCTCCACTCTTGACCACACCCCCAATTGCAGAACACCAGACCAGGGACCCCACACCCTCAAACCTCTCAACATCTCGCAACATTTCATGACATCTCGGCCATCCCTAAACCTGACAACAGGGATCCCTAAACTCTAAACCCTGATATCTCCGCCACCGAATCCGAGGCACGCTGTGCCCGAGCACCGCAAAGGGCTGGAGGCCTCTGGCCTTCCACATCTCACTCAAGGCGTACTCCAAGGCGAAAATTGCCAGCTGGGAAAGTGACGTAGACCTCAGAGGCTTGGGGATGTGGAGCTTGCCTGCTCAGGATCAGTGAAAGCTGGAGAGAGCTAACCCTAAATTAAACCCTAAACCCTAAAAACCCTAAACCCTAAGCCTATGTCAGCTCATGTGAGTTCTTAAGGTGCAAAGAGAATCCTGGGCGCCGGACTGTTCAAACCTCGTGGCAGCCTCCGGACCATCAGCGAAGAGCAAGTCCCTGAGGTCCTCGTTTATACATGTAAAACGAGGCTCTCTTCAGGTCATGCACGGTGAAAAGGTTCATGTACTGTTCTAACATACATTTAAGGCTAGTGTCTGTGTCGATATGGCGCTTTAGAGTTATGCATAGACGGCTACATATATGTATACTATATGTATACATACATACACATATACATATATGTTTACCTATGTATTTATTTGTGGGTTTAGCGTTTGCATTCATGTAAATAGATACACAGATGTTGTACAGGACTTGAGTGCATGTGCCCAGAGAAGCCTCTCAAGTCATTGAATCTTCGGCAGAATTTCACCCGACTGTGCCGCTCAGCGTCCCCTGTCGGTTCCAGCAGAGAGTGGCCCTCCAGCACCTGTGCGCAGCGGTCCAGCGCCGTCCGGAAGTGCTCCTCACAGAGCGGCAAGTGCGTGTGTGATAGAGAAAGAGCGCGGAAAAACAACAAAAAACGAAAGAAGTGAAAAAACTACGAGCCAGGTGCAGCCGAAGCGGCGTCAGTCTTATAAAGCTTCTTCCCCATCTCTGGCAGTTGGGAGCCCTGTCCTCAGCTGCTGAGAGCACCGACACTGAACCGACATGCCGCGAGTCGCTGCCGAGTGCCTGTAAAGAGGAAGGCCACGCGCTTGGGCCACTGAGGCTCAGCCGCCACAGCTCCCTGAGAGTTTTACAGGCTGCTCACCACCCACTCGACATGACAGTCATGGCAACGTAAGGCATGTCTACAAGTAGCAGCTACTGCCACCAGCACGGACTCTGTGTATTGTGGTTCCTCTAGAGACCTGAGCTCCATGCGCTGTGGGACTGTGACGCCATCAGCAGCCTTCGGGACATATCGTCATGTTTTCTTATTTGCTGGTTCACACTGTACTGTTCTGCTACCAAGCACATTTGCACATCAAAATCACTTACGGACAAATCATGAAGCTGAAACTATTCCCAAGCCACGCATGCGTGTTTGTGCCGCCGAAACCTTGGCAAGTACTTGAAGCCTACGTCACCTCTTTAGTTTGGCATCTCAGTAGTCATACGAGCGATAGGGAACAGAAGCAACAAAAGAAAGGCTTGCCAGTTCGTGCCGCCGGAACCAAAGGACGACACGCCCATCGCTGCAGATGCCTGTGCAGGTGGTAGCTAAGCCCTCAAAAGCCCACTAAGCCCTCCACTACACCTCAAACCTCAAACCCCAAACCCAGTTCACCAAGTTCGGTCCTGGTTGGCTCCGTGCTCAAGCTTCACAGAGGATGTCGGTACGCTGAGACGAGACTGCTCCAAGGAGATGTGCGGGTTCAGCTCCTGGGGGATGGCATGCTAGCATACTGGTAGCATCGTCGAACGCCACCGTGCATCAGCACTTCTGATCTGCACAGGCTGAGCCTGAAAGTGGATGTTCGGAGGAACCTCTCCACGCCGCAAGCATGCGGCTACCTGAGGTTCAGCTGTCCGTGGTTCATGATCGGGCAAAGCAGCAAGGAAGACCCTTGACAAAAAAGGAGAGCGAGCGGGAGGTTGGTAGGGCTCGCACCTTTGTCAGGCCAGCGAAGCCTGCAAGATGGCGGCATTGGCGCTTTGGCACTCAAGGCGTCTCAAGGCGTCTCAAAGCATCACCAGCCCAAACCCCCCGAATCCGGGCCTGCAGCCCCTTCGAGGTGCCCATGATTCGACTTGGCCGCCTGCGGGTTTAGAACTGCTGGGTCTTAGTCTACCTAGCAACATGTAAAGTTTCGGTGGGTTGAGTGGTTTCAGAATTGTTGTGCCTTACCTGGAGAATCCAGTTTCCGTTGGTTGAGGGACTGTTGAGGGCCATTTCCCACTCCCACAAGTTGCTTCCAAGCTGCTGCAAGGAACAGTGGCAGCACGCCTTCAGACTTCGAGTCGAGCACTCGCCTTAAGTGTCAATCGGAGCAACCAGCCACCCATGAGGTGTTGAGGGCTTCGGCTTTGCGGGGCATGTGAAGGCTTGTGAGAGCCTCTAGGGCTTGTAGGGCTTAGGTCCTGCAAGGTTTGCTGGGTCTAGGGAGTCTAGAGTCTAGGGCTTTGGGGCATTCATCCGAACTCTTCTCCAATCTTCTCCGAGCTGCCCGAGTGCGGCCTTGATCGCCCCAACCTCGATGGGGTCTCCGAGCGCTGTGCCGGTTCCGTGGCCTCGGATGTTTCCGAAAAATCCACTTTTGTCCGAAGGCCCTGGTTTGGAACAACCCTAGGTGCCCAGGCACCTTCCATGCTTTCCTAGCAAGCTCACAGAAAGGAGCTCACCCGAAACTTTCCTTTTCCCTCCTCGTGTACCACTAGCAAGTGTCCGCAAAAAACTCTTTTGTGTCTCTGGTGAGCGGCATTCCACCGCGCCGAGCGCCTGCGCGGGGAGCTGTGCCTCGCGCAGAGCCTGCTGCAGCAGCTCCTCCTGGCTAGGGCCTCGCTTGCAAAGCTTGGGGAGCAGCTGGACATTGCTATGCTCTGCTGTTTGCAGCATGACGTGAAGAATCCCGTGAAGCTCTTTGACATGCAAGTGACCGTTTGGAGCCGTCAATGTGGCACTCTTGCCATCTTGGTTCATCACCTCGAGCAGGCTTCTGTTACCCTGCACTGCCATCTGCTTGAAACAGCACGATCAGAGCACATGTGTGCAAACAAGAAGTTGGCAAGCTCTTCAGTGCTGTCCAGCTGCCACGCCGCCCACCTGCATGGCTCAGGGTTCTGCAGGAAAGGTCGGAGGAATGTCCGGGCGATCAAGAAGCTTCATCCCCTAAACACTGCACTATGGCGTGCCTCTGCCACTTGCTGGCATCGCCCCTCCTCGGCATCTGCCGAGGACTTGAGCAGCATCGCGCCAGCACCCTCACCGCGGATGTAGCCTTCATGATTCAGGGGCAGTCTGCCAGCAAGTCAGATCACGTACGGCTTTTCCTACCCTCATATGCTGCTTATGCTGCCGAGGTGCCGTCTGCCGTGGCATCAAAGGTCTTGCACCGACCGTCTGGCGAAAGCATACCAGCCACAGAGCGCAGCACGAAGCTGCTTGGTCCGTGCAGGACCTGACAGAAACTGCGGTTTTGCTGCCCTATTTGCCCTTAACCCGGTACCCGCTGCGACGGACACCGGCAACCTAAAACCAGCCTCTGCAGCCGACAGCAGAGCACCGCGGGCTCCATGGGAGCGGCGGCCCTGCGTCAATTGAGTCGATTGCGGGGATATTCTCGGAGCTTAACACATCTTGTTTCGGAGAAGACTGTGTCTGTGTCTGCTTAGGGTTTAGAGAGTGGCAGTACTGACGCCAACCCGCTACCCCCAATGTTGCAAAAACAAGCAGATCGCCGCAGGCAGTCCTCAAGCGATCGGAGCGCAGCGTGCAACGCAGACAATGAGGAGGAACAGGCCGTGTCGATCTGAAGCGGCAGCTCGGCTTAAACAACCCCTTGTAGGCTTCCCTAGAAAATGGCGGCTGCAGAAACTAAGGCCAAGGCTGTCATGCTAGGCCCTTTGAGGCCGAATACATAGCCTGGGTACATCCGCCATCCGCTACAGATTTCCAATGCAAGCATTCGTATAAAACGTCACGAATCCTTTCACATTCACAAGCCTGTGTGCATCTAAGTCTCTGATGCGATTGGCGGCAATGGCACTCGACACACCAGGGCCAGTATAGACTCCAGGTTTGGACACGGCCAAGTGGAACCATTCCATGTTGCTCAGCGCGGTGAAGACACCCTTGGTCAGCAAGCTAGGTGCATGACAAGGCAAAACACAACTACCTCGGCCAGTGCGTTTCACCCCCTAGCCAAGTTGCCAAGGGATTGTTCTGAAGCAAGGCTTTATCATAGCCTCAGCTTCATGAATCATGAAAGGCAGATGGGCTTCGGACACCCTGTGCAGGCACGTGAAGAGTCGCATCTGGTTTCCCGGGAGGCTGCTAGACTTGTGCGACCAAAGCAGCCGTCCCCACGAAGTGCATCGTACGCTGCTCCCAACAACATCCGCTGCTGCGGGTCTGTGGTCCTGGCCTGGAGGGGGAAAAGAGCGGTGGAGAGCATGCTCCAAGCGCGAACGCTGTCACGAGCAAGTCACTAGTACACTTCGCCTCAGCACTGCCCAGTCCGAAGTATGTCACATCGAAGAGGTCCATGCCCTGAACATCGTTTGCTACATTTTGCTGCGCAAGGGCAACAACATCATGACCAAAACGAGACTTTGCATGACCATGCCTCAACAAAGCCGCCATGGCGGGCATAGGTCTTGCCTTCCTGTGGCTCTTTGGAGTAGTAGAGCTCGTGGTCCCAGCCTTGTCGGGTGGGTCCACATGGGCGCGTTTCGGGGTTCTTGGGGGGCTGCAACATGCTTGGAGCAGCACGAGCTAGCGGCACTTCAACCACGGCATCCTTCTTGTCAGCCAACATGTCCCAGTAGAGCTTCAAACCTGAGCTCGACGAGTGAAAATCATCTTCGACAAGGACCGTTTCCTAAGCCACCCCTATCCCATCTCCTGCAATGGAGCTGCTGCTGGCACCACCAGGGAATTGGCAAGACGTGGAAACTATCACCTCAAGGCGTGCAAGACAGAGCCCGGAACTCAAGCAGCCGTCTGTCTAGGCGCGGGACGTGATGAGCGACGGGCTGCGCAGTGGGCGCAGGGATGCCGTCAGTGTGCGCGGGAGTCATCGGTCTCTTTGACAGCAGCGCCAAGCCATTGTCCACCATGTCCTTCGTCAGAAGTGAAGCCAAACGGAAATCATAGCGACAATATGCGGCTGCCTCGCATCAAGCTGAGGGCACTGCATTGATGGTGGGATGGTCAAAGAGAAGCGTGGGAGGCAGCTCAATCTTCAGGCGCCTCGCATGAATCACAAGAAGCGCCTGTAATCCAAGCACACGTGATCCGTGCAAACCATGCCATGCCATCGGCCTGCTCAGCTTGTTTCTGAGCTTCAGTGCTCCAGCCGAGTCAAAGCCCAAGTCCATCAGAGGGCGGTCCGGCTTCACAGCCTGTGCCTGCACCTCAGCGACGTCAGTGCTGACTTGACATCCAGGTTTGGAGCCCAGAGCGGAAAGCTGATCGTTACCTATTTCGAGCAAAAACCGTGATGCACCGGCCTGGAGGATGTCCGCAACAGCGTCCTAAGGGACTGGGAGGGCTCCATTAGGGGGGCACGTGATGCTCCAGTACCGTCACAGGTTCCCATAAAGAAGGGCCTAGAACTAGCCACAGATTGCCATCATTAATGGTCATCACAATCATCATCGTCGTCATCGTCGCCGTCGACATAATCATCATCCCAATGGCGATGCTTGTCAGACCAGCAATAAGCACGACCACCAACAAGAACAGTTATCCCCCCACCCACCCTAAATCCTAAACCCTGAACCCCAAACCCTAAGGCACAAACCTGAACCCGAAACCCAGATCCACATGATCCACCCACCCAACACCACCCCCCCGCCCCCTTTCAAGAGATCCTTCGCCAGGTCCACAAGGGTGCTGCGGCGCCAGAGCGGCTCAAGCTTCACCTCCACCGAAGGATCCGCGCCGCTGCTGGACTCGTGGACCTGCCCGGGTTCAGAACTTCGGGTCTCGGGTTTCGGGTTTCGGGTTTCGGGTTTCGGGTTTGAGGTTGTGTTGAGTTTAAGGTTTAGGTTTCGATGGGTTCCGAGCCTTGTACTTCACAAAGACGCCACCTCCATCTTCCGAGGGCCCTGGCTTCCCCAAGGGGAGAGGAGGAACCGGCTGGGACTCCTGCGCTTCCTGCGACTTCCGACCCTTAGGCCCTTAAGCTTTAAGAGAGATGCAGCTGCAGAACTCGGTCCCAAGGGGGTTTAAAGGTCTTAGGAGTCTTAGGTCTCGGGCCTAAGGGCCCAGCAGAATTCACGCTTGCAGCGGCTACATAGCTCCTGCTCCATAGCCAAGCCGACGTCAGCAATGGAAGCCTGCAAAAGCTGCAGTAGGGATGGCAGCTTCGAACGGTTCCGACATTTCACTGATGCGGCATCAAAAGTTGAGACCAGTTGGGGCCCTGGCAGAGCGAAGTAGTGCCGGCTGGTGTTCAGTGCCCTTACGGCGCATCTGCTCGGAGACCTCTAGAGAATACGGTTGTACGTGATGCAGAGTTTTCAGGATTATATTCGGTATTGCGGCATTGCCTGGCGCGTGAAGCTCTTCTTCGCCATCAAGTCCTGTCAGGTGATCAACTCTTAACTCACAACTATATGTTGAAAGCATGGACCAACTTTGCATGGCGGACATGCACAGACTCCAATTTGCACAGAATCTACAGTCCTCCTCCTCCTCGGAAGAATCTGCGGCTGATATCAGCACCTTCTGTGGGCACCACAGATGCTGGAAGCGCAAGAGGATGAGGTTGATGTGCATGGCGAGCACCGACCTCACGCGATGCAGGCAAATGCGAGCTTCGGAAAAGAAACCCAAACATTCGAAAGCCTCTGCCCTCCTGGAGGTGATTTTGAGAGGAGGGAGGGAGGGGGAGAGAGAGAGAGAGAGCGAGATAGAGAGAGGGAGAGTGAGAGAGGGAGTGAGAGATGGAGAGAGAGGGGGGCTCCAGCAGTCAACAGTGCATGATGTCATGTGCCCCGCGTGTCGTGCCTGGTGCAGCCGGCAATGACCCACCCCAGGAAGAGCTCTTCACCCCATAGGAGCGTCGCCTAAGGCCAAAGAACGCTCTTCGTGTCACAAAAGCGATCTACAACAATTAACATGCTGTTGGAGCTGCAACAACTCCCGACTTCGAGGACATGGAAACACCCAGTCATTGACAAGCAGCAAATGCAGGGATCGCATGGCAGAATGAAAGGTTCCACCACGCATCCACGTCGGCTTGAAACATCACGACCTGCGCAACCGCCCCCTAAACCCCTACCACGAGTATGACTAGTGCTGGCAGTTCTCGTACTATTCGTACTAGTACTACCCCCAGGAGGATACTCACATGGACCCTAAAGGTCCTGCGGACCTAAACCCTACTACCTATATAGGACATCTCAAAACTAGTCGACGCGTCTCACAACTACCTATTGTCCCAATAAGGGCCATGCCCATGGCCTGGTCCAAGAGAAGGTCGCGGACATCCACAGAGCGGGTGGCCTGACAAGAACCACACCCTTTGAAGCTCCAAAACTATGACATTCAGGTACAAGATGGTACTAAGGTTTTAGGAGTTTGAGGGCTTTAGGGTTTTTAGGGTTTAGGATTTAGGGTTTAGGGTTGAGGGTTTAGGGTTCGGGCCTCAATCATCTTCGGAGTCTTGTGCATCATACACCATCCCATGTAGCGGTAGGTCAGCCCGCGCTGTGGGTCGAAAGGATCAGCGTCCGTACCTGTCACTGCGCCGAAGCAGAATATAAGCGAATACTGTCATCAAATCGGTCCTTGGAAGGCCCCACCCGAACCTCTCCCTGGAGCACCTTTGTTCTTCAAATGACAGCGCTGATCTCGTGACCATCGAAAAATCGAACCCTGCAGGGTGTGCATGGTTGCAGGGCACGGTGAGTACTCGGAGCAACTTCTACGATCCAAGAATATCATGAAGGGCAGCGTTGCCTGGTTGGCGAGAGATTGACAAATCATGAGGGCGACCTGCGAGGATTGGCCATGCTCTTCAACCAGAGTGAGGACTCAAAGCGGCCTGCCTTTTGTGGTAGGCTCGGACGGATGCTGCCCACAGCCCAAACCAGGTTCGTTCCAACCATTCCCACAATTGAAAGCACCTGGGTCTGAGTATTTCAGCCTCCGTCCTGAACAGCAAACCGAGGCTGCTGCCAGCAGGAGAAAAGCCCAGACCTCTTTGGCACAAGGGAACAGCAGAACGCGTCGAAATGCGGTATTCGGACGAATTATGAGGGCACCAAGGGCGCGGCATAGGTCTGCCAACATGGGGTTTTCCCCACATACAGATCCCTGTGGCAATGTGACGCTGCCGCAACAGCAGGAGTTAGGCGGCCGACACGTCACTCCCTAAGCTACAACAGCAGAAGCACTCTCCTTGCGAAAGGCCAAAGTCCAGGAGTTTGGGTGCTGTGCTTGGGTGGCTCTGAGCTTGGGTAGCAGAGCTACTAGCCGATGTGCATATCCCCGCTCTGCTTGCCTATGGCCAGGCGATATGAGCAGCACCTCGCAGAACAGCATGACGCGCATGACCCTCCTCGAGGCTTTTCAAAAAATCCTCAATGCTTCTAAGCGGCGATAAGGAAATAGATCGTCATGTTATGGCAAACCAGCACCTATCGGGAGCCATGCAGCAGCTGGCGCATGTCAGCACACAGTGCGCGCACAAGAGTAGCTGCTCCCACTTAGCCTGAATGGCCACCGGAATGTTCACCCTCCGCCAAAAACGATACCTGCGATTACACGCAGACAGAACTTCCACGACCACGGTCCCTTCCCAGAGGCTCCTCCTTGTCACACGCAAAATCAAAAGCAAATTTTAAACAAGCTCAGGCCACTCTACTGTTTCTTGACCGAGCAGCTCGGGTGCAAAAATCATCACTAGCTCATCTTGGAGTTCTTGAGCTTTCCTGGAGCCTGCAACAAAGGCTTTTGTTAGCCAAGGAGTCGCAAGAAAGCGGATGAGAGCGCCTGAAGAGCTGGAGAGGATCGGGTAAAGGAGACACACGGGAGACCAGGCGAAGTACTGGGTGCCAACCTGGGCCGTCACAGCACATCACAGCATCCCAGGATTTCTTGTGCTCAACCCACATGGGGGTTTCCGAAGTAGGGCTACCTCATTGGGGTCCTTTTTCTAAGGGAATCCTATAGGGGGTTTAGATCAGGGGCCCCCTGATATTCGTAAACCAACACACTTCTTTGGTCTCCAAGGGGCATACACCTCAACCAAGAAGAGCGAGACCACGGCATAGAGGGTAAGGTCCCGCTCAGTCCACAGCCACATCTCTCGAAACAAGTAGCGAGCCTCGGAAGCATTCACGACACGCAGCCCAAAAGAGGGTACTCGACGGAACTGAAAAATTTGTACATTTGCAGCTCACTTGTTTGGCGCAGTGGCCGGCCAGCCAATGATGTTGAGAATCTGCTCCAACGGAGTTTTTTTCTTCTTCGACCTGGACACGACATAGAACAGCAGGGAGGACGGAAGAGTGAAGGACGCTCCTTTCTGGCCGAGGACGAAGCCGGTTCTTGGACTTCGCTTTTGAGGCCTGTTTAAAACCGCAAGATCCTCCAGCAAACCACAAAGCAGGCTGTAGTAGCAACGGCCAGGGCGGCCTCCCGCAGTCTCTGCAAGTTTTCTTCAGATCCGGATTGTGGTGCCAGCCCAGCCATGCCAGCCAGGTCTGTACTGGATCCAAAACTTCCACTGCCTCGCGCTGAAGGGAGATAAGCAGCAGAAACGTTCGCTTGAAGAATCTCTGCAGGGATTGCAGCCGGGTTACGCGCACGCTGCAACTCTTTGGACAAGTTTTTGGACAGCCGTTGTAGCTGGTACCTGAGCTCTGACTCTGTGCGTCGGCAGCCTTGACCACGCATTCCAACATCTTGTGCTGCCAAGGCGGCATATAAAGCTTACGTACTGAGGATCTCACATAGGAATTTGATGGAGTGCAACCCCAAATTGCCAGTCCTGCACAAAGCAAAACCTTCACGAAACTGACATGGGCCACAATGTCACTGGCATCAAGCAGCTGCTGCTGATCCTCCTCGTCCTCCTGGTCACCACTCACCTGCTTCAACGCCCCCTTCAGCAAACTCGCCGATGCACCCAATACTCCCAAGACTTGAAGCTTTAAAGCACCTCGGGGTTAAGTTATGGGCCGTTTTCGGGTCTTTGTTGGTAGTCTATTCCTTTAGTCTGGGTGCCAAGAGGACCCATCAAACGTCTGAGGACTCCATGTACATGGGGGGCAACATGCTGACCCTGAAGTCTCCACCCCCCCCCCCCCCCCCCCCCAAAAAAAAAAAAAAGAAAAACATGCAAAATACACAACAAACATCCCAAAACCCCAACACCGAAGCCCCCTAACACTCCAAAACTCGAGACCCCCTAAAACCAAAACCAAAAACCGAAACTCCTAAAAACCTAAAGCCTCACAACCCTAAACCCTATGCACCCCCTACATACCCTAGATCCTAAACCCTTAACCCGAAATCCCCGGACCTGGCGCCGGAAGACTGAAGACTGGTCGGCGTGCTGCGCGATGTCAAGCAGATCTGAAACTTGCGACGCCGTGGACCTAAGCAAGCAGGGGTGATTAAGGGGTTTCAAGGTTCATGGGGCAGATTTTACGGGGCTGTCGGGTGTTCAGTGCTTGGGGCTGAGGTTTGGCGACTTTGGGGTTGAATGTGGGTAGAACGAAAATCCGCCGACCTTGAAAGAGATGGATCTACGATTTTTTAAGGTTGGGGGCTTGAGGGTTAAGGGCTTGAAGGCCGCATACTCGTCACGATCACAGTATCTCGTGGGGGAGAGCTTGCGAGTCTGACAATGTTGAACACCTCAAAGACAAACTTGCAACATCTCATCTTCAAAGCGTGAACATGGGACAGCCTTGTCGCTTCTCGTTGAAACGGAACAGGCGTTCAGCCTGCGAACCTTTCACTCAGGAGCTCCAGACCTGTGGGGTCTGAGGTTTTTTTGGGCCCCCCGGCTCCAGTTCTGGGAAAAGCAGCTCCAACCTCAGAGCGGCCAACACACCTAGTGGGATGGTCGTCTCGGGCTCTGGCGGCCGGAGGTCGGCATGGTAGGGTGACTAAAGGCTTAGAATGCGGGCAGGAAGCGATGTCATCGAAGGAGACTTTCTGATTGAGCCGGGCTGTCGCTGTTTCTTCGTCCCGTCCTCACATCAGACAACAAAAGCCTCTTCTTATTCTTCACCCTGACTCCAACCCCCCCCCCCCCGCCTCATCAGAGTTCGTGGTGGTTGCCAGTGTGGCTTGCATCACCAGGAATGGAAGCAGCCAGAACTTGAGCAGCGCTCCAAAGCTCCAAATCTGAGATCGGGATCGGCGTCAGGAAAAGATTCCTAAAGACTCCTGCGGACTCCTAGGGAGTCATGGGGAAGTTCGAGTATCTTCGATTCAGACCCGGCGCCTGCGTGGTGGTGAGCATGATCGCCACGGCCATGTGCAGCTCCCAGCCTTCACTGGCCAGGGCTATACTGATCACACGACGATCACACGCGCTGAAAAGAGATGCTGGGAGATGCTGGGAAACGTGCGGAGGAGGTAGGACACCACCGTGTTCAGCGCAGGGCTCGGAAAAAAGTGGCCCTTCTCACAGTCCTGGACAAATGTCCATGTATGCTACAAAGCCTTGCTCATGACAACACAGAACGCCGCTCCTTCTGAATCAAATAGAACCACGCGAGTGACACTCCCTCGAATACGATGCCAAAGGGGACAAGCCATACTGGCCTGAGGTTTTGCAGAATTACAGACTTGCAGAGGCGACGGCAATTCCTAGCGGCGTGGTGGGCATCGAAACTCAGGCATTGGCGTATGGTAACCCGCCACCAGCACAACTCCCATGGCCAAGCAAAGGCCTGTGTCATGCATCTCTCCAACTCTGACTCTCACATGCCGAGCTCATCCCGTCAGTATCTGTCGGCCTGCGCGCGTCAACATGCGCACTGAGCCACTCCCGCTGGTTTCCGACAGCTGCTCCACCTGCGCAAGGTGACTCACAAGTCCAACTTTCTAGCAGCAGTGGGGGGTTTGGGCTTGTTTTGGGGACGGTGCCACACGAAACACGGGGTCAGGCCTCAGGACCCTAAACCCTAAACCCAATACCCTAAGCCCGAAGCCCTAGTCAGAAGTAGAATTATACAATAAGAGCCCCAAAATTGGCTTCCGGTATTGTAACGCCTTAGGTTAGAGTCCCTTGACTCTTTAGCAACTAGAAGGAACCCTCTCTGTACACCTCGGGCAAAAAAGGACCTCCTTCCCCGCACCCATTCATAGAGATTTGGGTCCAAGTGAAGCCCCTCAGCCCTATAAAGCTTACCGACCTGCCCCAAGGCACCTCCAAAACGGGGCAAGTATGCTCCAAGATATAGCATTCCTTGCAACCCTGAGCCCCGAACTCTGCCACCGTCCAAACCCTGCAAGACTCGGATTCAGGATCCAGTGTTCGCCTTTTCCAGCCCACAAGCCCCCACGCAATCCGAAACCGCAAAAGTCATCTCAAAAATCTGGGCCATCAGGCCATGTTTGCCAACTCTGAACGTGAACCCATCGATCTGCTGCGTCGAAGACCAAGCTGCTCCTGCCATTTCACGGCCGGATAACTGTGAAGGCTGCACACCCGAAATGGCCGAAATGCGAAGAACACTGACTGGCACAACAAAAGAATGTGCCTCTGCCGGCGCTAGACTAGACAAAACTGTCGGCTCACACATGACGCCCACACTCATTCATGGACAGTTTAACGTGTGCCGGATCTGCTTTGGTCGGCGCATTCTCGGCGGCATCTGCGTCAAGATAGCATTCACACAACCAGCTCCCTTCCCCGCCTCCCAAAGATGATGCCTGCAGGGTGCAACTTCCGTGCCTGCAGGGGGCTTCCCAGCAGGCTTGCGTGCGCCAGACCGCCTGTCAAAGGCAAGTCGACCAGGCAGGCGACAGGCTGCTCGCACGCAAGAATCACACTGGGTTAGGATCGTGCGCCTCATTTTTGGGTCACCGCTGGACCTGTCAAGATCCCCATGTCATGCGAATGATCACGTACATCAAGAAAGCCAGCATGAATCCGTCCCCTTTCACTTCTAGGGCCTCACTGCTGCTGTTCCGTGATCAGCTTCTGGAAAAAGGACCGGAGCCACCGAGGATGCGCCTTGCAATGTGCCAACTTGGACTTGACAAGCTGCTTCAGGCTACCAAACCTTCAGCTCCGCATGTAAGCACGAAAACAACCAAGAAAGCGGCTGGGGCGTTGTGTTGCACCTCTGTCGGAAGCGCCCCAGTTGCTCACAGTCTTGAGTCAAATGCTGCAGCACATACAGCCTCAATCACTCCGAAAGTACAAGTGGCTTTGCAAGGCTGGCGGTACACAAAAACGAAACAAGCCAAGGGCGTAAACCATGCACAACGATCCGGCAACACATGCCAAGGCATTCGCAAAATCGACATCCCGCACTTCTTGTCAAATTTGCTGCGGTGCAGCTGGTAAATGCTCTTGGGCGTTCGACGTTTCTTACGACTCCCAAACTTTCACAGCTCAGAAAGGGGCAGAATCATGTTTCTTGCACCTTTAGGTCGTATCGGAGGCTGCATGTACGGTCAACAATGCTGCTTGCTTGTTCGTCAGTTGGAGCAAGAATCCCCAACATGTTCCTGCTGCTTTGTCTTGTGCTCATGCCTTTTCAGGGTGCACAACAGAAAAGAAGTCCAAGACCTGCCGCCGTATTTCTCATCCCAGCAGGTTATGGTTTCACGCTTGCGCTCCGGCACCTTGTAGGCATCTTCATCCGCCCTTTCCACCACTTTCCTTCTCTTTCCCTTAAGGCTTGAGCCTCAAGGAGCCCTTGACCCTCAAAAACTACCTGCAAAAACTATCGGAGCCTTGCCTTGCCACCCAAGTACCTGCTTGCTCCCACGCTTTTCTTCGCCATTTCACGCGCGAATCAAGGCCTCCGCTTCACCTAGCAGCTGACTGGCACGATATCCAGGTAGCACTCCTCCCCCAACCATCCAATCCACTTCCCTCGCCTGACTCTCTAAGACCTCCCTTCTGCCCCGGTCCTTGATCCCCACTGGTCGACTTGGTGATGCCCTTGACTGTGCTTTCGCACCGTCACGCAATTTTTTGGCCAACACGATAGCTGGAAGAACTTCCGGGCAACTAGAAGGTGGTTCCATGTTGTCGCTGGATTTGTGGAAGGCCTTTGACCGAATACTTTTTTCCAAGCTTGAGAAATGTCTTCAGCTCTTTCAGATTCCAAACTCCATAGACTCAGCTCATCCGATGTCTTCATGAACACGCCACTTACTTGATCGAAGCGCCCAAAGCCCGTAGCTATGCGCTTGCCCGACTTGGCCACAGCCTTCTTCACCTGTTTCCGGACGGTCCGTGGTTCGAGTATCTATAAAGCCCTGCAGCCAGTATGATGATGAATTCATCCAGTTTTGCAACTACACATTGTTCAACATTGAAAACGACTGGCCTAAGTTGCCCTTTTGCATGTCCGTTTGCAATCTCCTCAGCCTTCTGATCTGCTCACTTTCTCGGGAAGTGCGGTAGTGGAGAGCATTCCACGTGCTGGTCAGATTTGAAATTCAAGACACTGTGGATAAGTGCTGCTCATGCTTGGCCTTGGAGTCACAACATCAGCCGTAATGAAGAGCTGCCAGGACGGAGGCTACTGGTTCACTCACAAAACCGCAATGGCAGAACAACACCTTTTGCGTTTTAGGCATAGAGCTGCTGTCCGGTGATGATATTCTTCCAGAGTGGATAGTAAGTTACTCATTTGAATTTCTGTGCACGCCAACCAAGATGTCGCACGCCTCCCGCCCAAGGATGATGGAATGAAACTTGGTTCTGGTAAGCTGTTGTCTTTTG